AAGGGGGAAAAAAGGGGGAAAAAGGGGGAAAAAGGGGGAAAAAGGGGGAGAAAGGGGAAAAGAGGAAAAAAAGGGAAGATTGATGAAATTATGGTGAAATTCCAAAGTCTGTTATGGAAAAAGGAATTGATATCTGTCTTTATATAGCAGTAGTGAACAGAAGATGCAATCAGTAATTTAATCAGTCTCTGGAAAAAAGAATAGTATGTGTTGTGTGTGACCACCAGGAAAATAAAATAACTCTTTGCTGGCTGACACAAACTCAGTTATAATTAAAAACTAACTAAATATATGTACATAGCATTTCAATAACAACCAGGAAAATATTTTGTTTGTAATATGTGGAAGTGCAAATTCAATATGAAATGCTATTGGCCTTTTTTCTGTTGATTGAAAGTCTTTCATGATTTTTATGAAATAATGCCAAGGATTATTTTGGCCTCCTCTCCTCTCCTACTTTCTTCTCTTTTAGTCAGCACTGTAATTATCTGTTTTTGAGGTGGTTAAAAGATTTGTCCTGAAATGCAGGTGACGGTTTACATTTTTATCAGCTACTGAGCACTAGTCTTTCTATTGGAATTTTTGCAAATTGGCTTGAACAGGCAAATCCAAGCTCTTCCAGACCCCAACTGCTGTGTTGGTGTGTGTGTATATCCATGCTCTCCCATGTATTTAGCAAGAAGAGGTGCATGCCCTCCACCATACCCATCCCCAGCCATGAGAGTTGGCATTGCCTCCCTGATAGTGATACTCTGTTTGGTTTGCTTCTGCTCAAGTCCACAGGAGCCCAGGTGCAAGTAGCAGGGGATATGCTGCCAAACTCGACGGAGCGTGCAGTCACTATATCAGGCACTCCCGATGCCATCATCCAGTGTGTGAAACAGATATGCGTGGTCATGCTGGAGGTAAGTGATCATTTGGGTTCTTGCCTCTCACATGGGAGATGTTCAAACATATTGCTGATTTTCAACTGCCCAGGGGTTCTCTGAGGTGCTGTCCATCTGTCCCAGGTCAGGGATTTCAGGGGGACCCTGACAGAGCCTCAAATACTTGACTGGTGTCTGGGAACCTCTCGGAGCAGGCCTAGCAACCCAGGGCCAGGGCTATCATGACACTGTCAAGCAGCAAAGCATGGTCCTGCACAGAGCTGCAGCCCATCTTTTGAGAAAAGCGTTTTATTCTGATGCAGAACAGGACAAAAACACGTAGGTCTTGTTTAAAGTAGAAGCAATTCTGGCTCATGTGATTTAAACATACCAGGACTCTTTCCTTCCTTGGGGTCAGATCACTGCATGAGGCTATTAAGTTTCTTTGCAATGGCATTTTTTTAGCTCTGAAGTTAAATGATACAAAATTAATTTCTACACAGATTCGAGCTGTTTAATCCTGTGTTGAACATGTCTTTCATGCAAATACACATCTCAACTGATTAAGTTATAGTTTGAAAAAAGCATCAGCATATCAAAATGAAAAAACTTGACATGGCAACCACAGCTTTTGACGTGGAATGTACAACTTCTCCATTTTTATCATTTTTTTTGCTGGAATATTTTCTCTGTTTGAGGTTTGGGGTTTTATAGGCTTTTTTATCTTATGTGTAGCCAGGAGCTGTCTCATGATCTCTGATGTCCTACTTATTTTATATATAGATAGGAGAAGCAGTGAGACAGCACTGGGGCTACAAGCTGTTCATAAGAATGCACTGTATCTAAATAACACCCAGCCTTATGCAAAAAGAAAAGGCATAAAACTGAAGAAATGCCCAATATTTTACTTGGAAAAAAAGTGACTCTTGTATAAAAATAATATAGAAGATAATATTCAAAAACTAATGCTAGTTCCTTAGACGTGGAGTACATGATAGTAATTATTATCAGCTTTGAGCATGTTGTGTAGTTCTGTATGCAAGTGGCATTCACTGAATAAATAGATATATTTAATTTAGAAAATAAACCACTCTCATTGAAGTGAAATAGTGAAGTACTTGGTATAAAGTAATGGAAGTGTTTTGGTTGTTACCTTTCTTATTTGTAGTTACAGCACTGAAACCAGGGCACAATTCTGCTGGGTAGATGGAAGCCTGTTTTACAGGCAAATGCTCCCACTTTGTGTATGGGGAGAATGTTAACCTGGGTCAGGTATTTCCCTTCATATACTTGCCTTGGGCTGCAGGAAAATATGTTCCCTTTCTGTACATGATGAAGGCTGTAGTTGGGAGGGATTTTCTCTGTCCTTCCTGCTCAGCTGAACAAGAGGAAGGATCAAGGCAGCAGCCGACTTAACTGTGTCAGTAAAACAAGAAATCTTGATGTGCAGCAGCATAGGAAAGATCAATGAGCAGGGTGTGCTCAGACTGGCCTCTTCCAAAACATTGACACAGTTTGATATTGTTTCCTGAAATGCCTTAAAGTGCTTAATGAAGCTTTATAGCTTTACCAGCTAAGAGGGGTAGTGAAGCCACGAGTGCCAGCTGTCAGTTGGACAACTGAGGCCTCAGCTTTCCTACCTAGGGTTCAGACACCAGACTTCTGATTCTAGGGCTCTTGGTAAGGAGGGCAGGGCGGGCTGGCGTGGGTCAGTGCACCCCTAGAGCCTAGGGTGGCCAAGGTAAAGAGTGGTGTTATGCGCGTTCTGCTTCATTCTGCATTTTGATCGCTTTGTGTTTTTGTCTGCAGTCCCCACCCAAAGGTGCCACCATCCCCTACCGTCCCAAACCTGCCTCTGCACCTATCATTTTTGCAGGAGGCCAGGTAAGAGCAGACACCATTTTGGCTTCAGCTGGAAACCACACCGTCTTGGCCCAACCTCAGCCGGCGCCTGTTAGTTTTCAACTTTTACTCGTTTTTTTGCCTGGTATAGTATTGGTGTGCTCTGTCTACTCTGTGTGCTTGCAGCTTGCAAGGAAGGAGAACACTGCATTGCAAACTTAAGGGGGAAACAATGAGAAGACATTAAGTGGGGAGCATTTGATATACAGTGTGTTTCCTGCTGCTGTATAAGCCTGGGAAGTGGGTATTCTGCAGATGACTTCAGTAACACCTATAACTTCCTTTGCCCTATAGTTCCTTAGCAATTGGGTTTTGAGGCTAAACAAACTATATAAATGTAGGTGCAGACCTTCCCAGCCATTAAGTCTCATTTGTAATGGAATCAGAGCTTTCCTGTATCTTTTTAATATGGTGAAATTTTGCCTATTTCCCCTTCATCTTATGCTATATCAATCAGAGTTCTTATCTGCTTTTAAAAACCCATGTGCAGTGTAACCCTTCCTTGTTCTGTGATAATGTCCTGAAGTAAGTTTGCAACAAGCAGCTGAGATGTGACAGGAATTTGCTCTACCACCATGAACTTCAAGGGGAATGCACTTTTAGTAAATTAACCAACAACAAGTGCAGCTGATACCAAGCCTAAAAATACCACAGGAGTCTCACAAGGGGATCTATAACCAGCAAGCTATGAACTGTGGAAAGGTGGTCCGGGATGCTGCAAGCCCTGCTCAAATCCTGGTCTCCTAAATCTAGGCTGGAGGAAGGCCACGTTTCCCTTCTTAGGATTCATGTGTCTGAAGCCTCTGTGGCAGAAGGCATCCCATCCTAGTCTATTCTTTCACCCAAGATGAGAGCAAAGCCCCTTTCTAGTGTTTATCCAGTGGGAAGAGCCACTCACATGCATGATGGGACATCTGCAGACCCAGAGACCATGTCTTATGCAGGGAATACAACAGGGAATCTCAACAGGCAATACAGGAATCGTTTGAGGAGCCAGGCATCAAGTTCTTGGTAAGGCAGGTGGCATAAGGTGCTACTGCCACAGAATCCTGTCTCTCCCTAATCTGCCAGTGTTCCAGCAGGCTCCTAAACATACCAAGCATATAGCAACAAGCCATTTCCTCCTAAAGGCCTTTGCAATAAACTGTCTCTGGTTTTTATTTCAGAGTTTTACTTTCTAGCCTATAATGAGATATTGTGGCATATACCCAGATTTTTATAATCTGGATATAGTGGCTTTAAATTCCTGGGTGTCCAAGTTTACTCCTCTAGGTTTTCTTCAAAATAAGAAATCAGCTCCCGTAGTGACCAACGTTGAGTTGGAATTAAAAATAAATTGCCAAAAGTTGGTCTGAGAGTTCAGAATAATTTATTCCAGAAGTATATTAAGTTTTTACTGCAGTGCTTTCCATTAAGAAATGCATATGTACATAATACAGCAGCCCTTGTTACCAGTGCTGTAATTGCCAATTGTAATTGCTTCGAAGATTGTATGTGATTACCGAAAACATTGAAACTGTTTTCTGGGTGCCCAAAACAGTTCGTATAAATAACTCAAAGTGTTCTATTTGAAGGCCTGGTAGTTCTTGCCATCTTCAGTTTTACCAGTTAAAAAGGTGTTGTCACTTTTTTGATGCAACCTTATTGATGTGAGAAAGAGTGTCTGAGACAGATGCGTTGTGTGTGCTTTGAATGTGGTCTTTGACTAACTAAACTTCTATAGAAAATGCTTGAGGTGTGTTTGAGAGTCACTGTGGAAGGATGCTTTAAGGGGTTTCCTGATTGGAAATTAACATTGAAAATAAAATTTCATTTAGAGTATTAAGTCCACCCAGCCCTTTGACTACAATATCAAAAGTTATTTTTCCATTCTAAGTAACATCATGGCTATCTTTAAAGGTTTCAGGTTCTTTAATGCTTGCTTATCAAACAGCACTAGAAAAATTTAATTTCTGTTCTTACTTAACAAATTGGGGTTTTATTCTTGTAAGTATGGCTTTAATTTTCTTGTGCTTCTTCGATATCGCACTGCCTGACAGAAAGGAAGCTGAACTGTACTATTCTGCTCTGTCATTTACCAACATCCAGCCTAAGCAATGGCTTAAAAAAAAATTTGCACTTTTGCCTGAAGGAAACAAATAGAAGATTTCTGCCCCTTGTGCTACATTGCTGTTTAGACTGGTAGTCAACAGTGACAGCTTTGCTTTATGCCTCTTAAAATGAGGAAGATATGCAGGCCAGGTAATTCTTGATCTTACCATAGTCAGTACATCAGTTGGAAAGTTGTCTAAGCTTTGATGGAAGCAGACCTGTAGCTCCTGCCCTTGCTAAGCATTACCAGACAGATGCCTCAATAGCCACTACTGGGCTTGTTCTTCTCATGCGTCTGCTGTGGAAAGGGCAGAGTTAATAAACAGAGCTTTGAGTGTTACCTACTCCTGTTATTTCCATAGTTTTGTTTGTGTCTTCATGTGTGTATGTGGAAATATGCGCAAGAAGAGCAATGAGGAAGAGGGTGCTTTTAGGTTTGTTGGCAAGTTCACTGCTGGCTTGGAGACCACGTCTTGGGAAGCACCCTTGTGAAAAGATGATGTCCTCTTATCTGGATTTGAAGGAAACCCAAGATCAAATTGGATACTTCTGGTCCAGAAGTATACCCGAGAGTGCAAGAAACCAAAGTGTGTTTTTCAAACCCACTGTTTGCTCATAGGCCTGGGTTCCTGCCCAGTGCCATATCCATTGAATATCTGAAAGGCCGCTCATGTGCTTGGCTACACTCAAAGCCTTCCACTCAGCAGAGCAGACTTAACATTTCCTTAAGGTTGTCCTCATTTGATAAAACACTTAAACACACACTTTGCTTGCATAAGATCCACTGATGACAGTTAGAGTCTATTTCTGTAGATGGGGACCTTTTCATTTATAAACCATTTCTAATGGCCATCCCCATAGATGCATGCGAGTATGTATGCAAGTGAACATGTCGTTGAGCCCAGTAGTTCAATTCTGGCTGAAAACTGCTCATGTGAATAATATTTGCCAGATTTCAGCCTTGTTTTATAACTAATTTCAAAATTAAATGAAATGTTTATTCTCCAGAAGGGAAATTTTGCTGCAGAAATGTGCATTAAGCTGTTGGAGCATAAAGGGTTTTAATATCTGAACATCATTAAATGAATTGTTTTATCATTTGCAGAGGATTCATTGCTTTCTAAGAGGCCTTTTGTCAAATTAGCATTTTGCAAACTAAGCTAATCAGCTCTGTTCCTGTTTATAATTCTCCCACTACAAATATTTATACATTATAATTTGTCCTTTTGCCTCCCTGCCCGTCTAAGCATAAGCACATTAAAATTTTTCTGACATGCCTTTCCTTTCAGAAAAGCTCTACAGAATAAAGTAGAAAATTATAATCTCTTCGTGGCTGTTTCTGTGTAGGCCATTGCACAGGGCTGAGCAGAGCCAGCAGGGGAAATGAGGGGCTGTGTCGTGTGCCATGCAGGATCACATCTGCTGGCACTGTGTTGGTGGGCCAAGCAAGCCACCTCCTGCATCAGGGTGGCCAGTGAGTAGGCTGTAGCTCTTGGCATCACCCCATACATCCTGTGAACAACGTTTTGCACCATGCCAGGCGTTATCAAGCAGCACAAGAAAATTAAGCTTTACTCAGTGTAGAGGGTGATGTGGGCGGCATTCACGTGGGGGCCAGCTGGAGGCTGCCCTGTGCTTGTCCCACCCAGCTGACCTGTGTCTTCCCTGTGCTTCTCGTTTCCAGGCGTTTACAATTCAGGGGCAGTATGCCATCCCTCATCCAGACGTGAGTCCAGCACATGTAAATTACTCCCTTTTTCTTCCTCACCTTTTTGTTTGTTCCGGGCAATATTTACTTTCTACTGCTAGCAATGGAGTTAACATGGACTAAGGACACATGTCCCTAATGACATACGTTATAGGCGTACATTATAGTTCAGTTGCATCTCTTATCTTGTGTAATAATTACTAGAAAGTACAATGGCCCAGGAACAAATTACAGTTATCTCGGTCTTCTTTGCATGTGTTAAATCTGAACACTTTTAATATGTAATTCTACAGTAATTAGTTAGTATTAACAATAGCTGCTACATGTAATAACAGTAGAGATGTCATTTATAACCAATTTGGGGTTTTTGTTTTTTTGTTTTGTTTTATTTTTTCTCTACAGTAGATCAGAATGAATGATTAAACTTCTTTTTTTTTTTTTAATATAATTTTAATTAATCCAATTTTAGAACATGTAAGATGGTTTCTCTGCTCTGAAATAATTCCATTTGATTGGTTAGTTCTAATTTCCCATCCTGCCCTGCAGTTGACCAAGCTTCACCAGTTGGCTATGCAGCATCCCCCCTTTACTCCCCTTGGGCAGACCACCCCTGGTTTCCCTGGTACGTACCCATGACCTCCTGGGGATGTCCTTCTTCTTAACAGCTTTGTTTCCCGTGGTCATTACATCATTTTAATAATAAATGTGGTCAATGACCAATGATCCTTCTGTTTTGACACATTAATCTTTGTTTTTCCCTCCCTTTCCTCTATTACAGTTCCTTTCATCACTACTAAGATATGCTTTGTTTGTTATGTTTATTTAATCGAACCCACTCCGTTTGTGCCATTGGCTAAAAATCCTGAGTTATTTCAGTCCTTATAAAGTTATTGTGGACCGTACAGTATCTACCAGTTGACACTGAGTGAAGCACTTGGACATCTGTCCTGCCAAATATCCAGTTTGTTAGCATCTTTTGTAAACCAAAAAATACAAGAAAACAGTATGTAATGGCAGTATAGAAATTTAGATTAAAGAAATTAATGCATGCTAAAACTGGAGCTCCTCATAGAGCCAGATGTCTTAAGACCATCACTTATCATCACTGCTGGGACAAGTGCCTCATGTCCTACTGGAGCAAATGACTGCTTACAAACTGCAGTGAAAATTCAATTCACTTAAGAAATGTGAAATTCAGCCTGATTGAATTAAAGTACATGAGCTGATAACAAATTATTTACTCAAGAGAAAGAACTCATGTTAAGAGAGAAGTTGAGTCAATTAACCATACAATAAATTATTTTTACTATACTTCACTAGATTGGAGCTTGGCATCAAAAATTCCACCGAATAAACTGGTAAATGCTTGGTATGGCAAATAACATTTTATCACATACATCAAATTTTGTGAGCAACTTGACTGTGTTATAGTCAACATCAAATAAGTATATACAATTCTTAGTAGAATGTAAACTTAAGTAACTGTAGATGAGTTGCTGTTTTGTAAATAGCTCCTTTTCCACAATTTCTAGTTGGAAATGAGTATTTTGGCATGTCTTCACAGATGATAATGAACAAATCAAGACAACCCCCAAGTAAATAAATAAAAAAAAAAATAGAAGGGAAGAGAAATGACATCCAAAATACATTTTTGTTTTTTCATGGTGTATCTGATAAAATATCTGCAAGTAACATTGAATGGCCTTTCCCAGCTTTCTGTGTTCCTCATTCTTGTCATTAACATGCTGCTCCTTAATCTTTTCCTGGTTGTATTCATGGTTGTATTCATATATGTTCCTCTAATGTTACTGTGTGTTAGAGCAGTAATTCCATTTCTCCTCAGTATTTTCCTTTTGTCCACCCAATTTAAAAACAAATGTATGCAACTTACATTATTTAGTACTTTTCCCTTCAAAAATGACCCTTCCCAACATTCTTCAGCAACTAATCCCACATTAATTTCCAAATTCTTCTAGGTTAATTTCCTCATCATTATTTTATTATTATTATTTTTAATTTTCATGACTATGTATTTGGTTCAACTACTTTTTCTGTTTGAGTTCCACCCTAATTTTCTGTATTCTACAACACTGGGTAGAGAGGTCAAATTTCAGTCATCTGTTAATTTCTGAATCAATGTATTTATGATGAGCTTCAGAAATGACTTGTAGGTGAAACCCTCCATTTTCTAAAGGATTTGTGTGACTCTGTGGAATCATGTGACATTTGTTGTTTTGGTGGGTTAAAGGTTAATTAAAATAAGACTGTTTTAAAGTGAGTCCAACCCTCTTGAGTTTTGCATCTTCTTTCATTTCTGTTTCGCTAGCACTTCTCTACTTTTCTTTGCTCTTCTGGTTCTTTTTGTTGGTATGTTTCCTCCTCTATAATATCGCTTGTTGGCTTGTTGTGTCTTACCCTCTTAGCAAACAACCGGCATAACATTTTCTGTCTGTTCCCCACATAGGACTGGATGCCACTTCTCCAACCAGTTCCCATGAACTTACTATTCCCAATGATGTAAGTGGACCCATAGTCAGTACCGCTTTCTCTTCTTGCTCTCCTCTGCCACCGGGGGGAATTCTGTCGTCTTGGGTGATTTGCAAACACTAGTCCTCAGAAGCAACCTGGGGTTTGGTTTTGAAGGGAGGAGGGTGCTATGGATTACCGACATGCTGACAGCAGTAGTGAAGGTGGCCCTCCCATCTCATGTCACACCTCCAGTGCTGCTGGCTTAGTTGCGCAGTGGTGTCCACCCCATGGTGTTTCACCCATTTCCTCAAAGCCTGGTTGTCTGGTGCTTTTAGTGAAAAGCAGACATGGTCTGAGACACATACCATGTCATGCATGACCCTAGCAGGGGGGCTGGAGGGTGTCAGAAATTGCTCAGTCCCCATCTGCTGTGGGTTGGCTGGAGACCAACCATACCACAATGGTGGAATGGAGCTGGTCTGCACCAGAGACTGTGCTTACCCCAGGTGGAGTATTTCCCCTGCAAAAAGTTAGTAAAGGTGCAAGCCAGATGTGGGTTATATAGAGGTACAGTACAAGCATTTAGCTGAGAACAGGGGCTCCAGCAGCTCTGCACTGGCTGTGACAGACAGATCCAGTCTCCTGGGCAGTACAGAGCTAATCCTCGAGCAGCTGCTCTAACTGCTCAGCTGATGCTCTGTGCATCATGCTAATATGCCTTCGAGTTTTATTCTCTTTCATCAGCAAAGGGATTTTTTTTTGAGTTTGCATTACAAATGAGTCACCTGAAAAATAGACAGTTTCCCCTCCACTGAAAAAAGCTTTCAAGTATGAGTGGGAACACAAATAGCAATTATATTACTCAAGAGAGACTTACAATATTGTATAAGCCCTATTAAACTCAGTGGCAATGATTTACAGTAAGAAAAAAAAGATACAGAACAACAAAGAGGAAGCAAAGGTAAATCTTTATTTTATGAGCACATTGATTTTGTAAGCTTTATGTGACTTAAAGGCTGTCCTGCTGATCTGTCAGTATTTTATATCCCAATTTACTGTACGTTGAGGATTTTATGAGAGCATGGTACTTATCCTTACAAAGCAAGTTTTTGTAATCTGACTTTCAGGCAATTTTTGTTCTTGCCCCTGTGATGTAAAGCCAAGGTTACTCTTCTGACTTCACTTCTTCAGTGTTCCTATCAGACAGAGAGGGAGACAGCTGGCCTAATGTGCTGTGGTGCTCTAGAAAAGGAAAAAAAATGATCTGTTTCAGATGAGTAGCTATGAAATGCTCTGGGTCAGCACTGTCCTCTCAGAAGCAAATACACATCCATGTGTTGTTTCTAATAGAAAATTTGTTGAGCTTCACAGCATGTGCCTTGTTGTTGCTAAAGGAGAAAAACCAGTGCCAAAGTGGGGTTGTGCTTATAAACAGCCTGCAGACAGTGAAAGGAAGTTATTGCATTGGTTCAGATGGGAGAGGCAGCAGCAGTTGTGCAGGAAACCATGCACTAGTAATTCAACTTCACTTTCCCAGCCAACATCTCCTAGTCCTGTTTTGGTCAGAAACCTCCCTCATTATATGCATGCAGGCCTGCAGAAGTCCAGCACAGGTGAGAACAACATGTGGCTTGCAAATACCCACTTGTTCTATAGTTGCCACTGCACCTACACGTGTATTACACCTATTTTTTAAAAACAAGATAATGATAAATACAAAAAGCCAAAATCCCAGTATGAATCTGGTGGAAGGAAATCAAGTGTGAAGAGAATGAGGAGCTCAGACGTGGGGTGTGTTCTGCACAAGCCTCTGTGTGAGGTAGTAAAATAGTGGTTGTCCTTTAGGGAACAGGAGGGATGGCATCACTGCTGGGCACAGTTATCAGATTTCACAACACTGTGTAATCCAATCCCCAAAATGGCCATTGGAAGTAAATGAATAAACCAATAATAATAATATAAAATCCACCTCATTAAAAATTATGCATAATTCTCATATATTTATGTGGGAGACAGGCAGAAGCAAGTAGCAGGAAAGCTTCACCCTTGGAAAACACAAACATTTTAAAAAAACAGTAAATCTGGTCAATACTCCATATAAACAGACATGCAAATCCATCCAAGCTGGATAATGCATCCTGAAGAACTGTTTCTATCACCAGTTGTGTCAGAAGTCCTTCCCTGCAGGAGTCTGAGAAGGACCAAGCATGCAAAGTGCTCTTGGAGAAGTCCCCAGGGAAACCTAGCCTTCAGAGAGGCCCCATGGTGCTTCCTCTTCCTCCTCCTTCTCTTCTGATAGTCTCTGGGACACCGAGTTCTCATCTCCACAGATCACAATTCACCTCTTGCAGTAGGATTGGTGCCAGCTGTAAAGAGGACACAAGGGCAGCATCTGACCCCGCTGTGACATGCAGCCCCAAATCGGGTAATGCCTCTTCCAGAAAAGCCCTGAGGACTTTGGATATTCACTTAAATCCATCCCCGATTCAGAAGTTTTCAGAAGGATTTGAAAGCAACAGTTGGGGGAAGACTTAATAGTCTGCAGAAGATACTCTGAAGAAGATGCAGTGGTACTATGAGTAAAAGCCCTTCCACCAAAGCTGAGGGACCTGGCAGATGCCAAGCAGTAGAAGCTGCTTCCTTGACCGTTTTAACCAGTGCTACACTCACAGTAAGAAAGAAAAGGTACCAAAATTAAACAAATACGTGGAAGCTCAACACTTCTTCTGTGACAGACCTACAATATTGGGCTTTGATTAAAAAAAGAAAAAAACAAAAAAAACCCAAGAACTTGAAGTCTGAGTTCTCCTCCCTGTGCAGTGTGGCAGCATGATGAATATGGAGGAGCAAACAGTAGAAAAAACCCAGCAGCAAGCTGTGTTGTTAGGCCGCATCAGTGAGCTTAGCATTTTGGCAAGGGGAGGACATATGCTTAACGTATTTGCTTAGCATCATGGGAAAATAATACGGAAGAGAGAGGCCTACATCTCTGACATGGCAAGTCGGGGGAAGCTCCACCAGCACCAAGAGGTTGGGGAGGGGGAACTGGAGTAGACCTTCCTCCAGTCCCTTCTATCAAGTCCAGACTCTGGGTTTGATCCTGTTGCTATCAGTACCAGCAGAATTTTACTGAAAAACACAATAAAACCAAAAAAAAAAGGCAAATAGCAGCATCTATGTTTTAGGATTTGGTTTTTTTGTTTGTTTGCTTTTTTTGGTGGGTATGAGAAGAAATGAGGTACGCTGAGGTAGGTGAAGGTGGATGAGATGTGGTGGAGCAGTAGGAAAGGGAACCATCCTTCTCTGATGTTTACAGTACAAGAAGGAGAGAACTTCAACTGATATTTTGATTTTTAAAAAGGCAAACGATGATACTGAGAGATAACAAATGCACAAATGCTGCAGAGCAGAAACAGATTCAGTGGGAATTTGTCAGGCACATGGACTATTGAGCATGAAGTCAGAGATGCCATCTTCTGTTCAGGTGATGCATAAGCCATATGCAGAATGAGAATTTAGGATACTGATGAAAGCTTTACTTTATTCCTCAAGCTGGTTTTAGGCTTCTTCTGCAAACATGTGCAGGCTGCTGGGCTGGGTGCCTTTCTGATCTTAGCCATTCTGCTTCGTCCTTGAGGGAGTTAAAATCTGCACACCTACACACATATGCATCCATGTTCTCCAAGCACTCTGACCTGCTGTAGGTGTTCCTGTTCAATGCAGGGAAGTTGGACTAAGTGGCCTTTAAAGGTCCCTTCCAACTCTTAACAGTTCTGTGATCTGATGGTTGTACGTACATAAAAGTTTTGCGTATATATATGCTTGTGTATGTTTCTGAGTGTACATATTATGTACGTTAAGCATTGTATGGGAGCTGCTGAATCATGGCCTGAATCTCTGATTGATCACCTGAGGCGAGCAATGAGTCAGCCCTGGGAGCACAGCTGAAAGCAATTCACCTGTGCTGCTGGAAGGGGTGGAGCCTGGCTGCACCTCTCCTAGACCCCATTTAAGAGCTGACTACCAGTGGAGAAGGATCTCTTCTAGAGATTCCTCCTTTGGAATTTTACAGCAAGCCCAGGACACAGGTAAGCGCTCTATTTATTCTCTTTTGGTATAATAACCTGCTTAGCCAAACTCTCTGGTACATTTCATAATTATAATGTCTATATGTTCATTGATTATACAACCATATATAAAAATTTATAATATAGTACACAGTAAGCTTTGTATAGCCCATAGGAAGCTCAGCTGCTCTCTCAAATGGTCCAGCTTTATCACTGTCACTTGCTATGTTGAACAAGCAGGTAAGCATAAAAAATAATGTAGTGCTGAAAGTTCTGAAGGACTTAACATGTTTACCAACTTTCATGTTCTTCAACTCTTGTCTGCTAAGCTTGAAGGAGTAGTGAATCCACATCTGTGAAACTCAACATTACATGTGAAATGGAGGACAGGCAACTTTTGTGGTGAAGGACACTTTAGGGACCGAGTAACACAGAGCCTGCTGTAGTGCAATAAATGAGTAGCTATGGAATGGGTTGGGCAGCTGAAGGAAGGAGAAAGGTCAGTCTTGAAAAGAAAGATAAACATTTGGATGTGGCTTGTCCTCCAAACAGGACAGTGTACGTGCTACTATGTAGAATGGAATCAAAGAATCACAGCGTCATTTGAGTCAGAAGGGACCTTTAAAAGTCATCTAGTCCAACTCCCCTGCAATGAACAGGGACATCTACAGGAAATCAGGGTGAAATGTCCACTGTCTGGTAGGTCAGAGCTTCTTCCAGAAGCCATCAGCTCTTGAATATTTCAGATGCTGCACAAACGTGAGCAAGTAAAAGGAGGATGCCAGAAGCATTAGTGTGACAAGGGAAGAAGTGTATTCTGTGTACTACCTGCAGTGAGGTGGCCACTGACTTGTAGAGCATGTTCAAGTAGCTCATTACCACAGAATCAAAGGATGATTTGGGGGAGCTTCAGACTGGACCTACAATGACACAGTCTTCTTCTCAAGTATAGTTTTAAAGCAGTCTTTAGCAAAGCCTTTAGCAGGTTTCCAGAATCGACTCAGCACAACACACACAGACTTGTTGGTGTCTGCATTGCAGACAGTTGCCATAATCAGTATATGAATTAACAGTGCTCCTCCAGACAACTGCATCATTGTTATCTGGGCCCTGCCTAGACTGAACCCTCTATATCTAACCTGAAGTCATCTACAAGCGTACAGATTCTTTCTCCTGACACAACTGTGTTACAAGTGCTGCCCAAGGACCTGTTGCACACACAGGTGACAGCCCCTGTGTGACCCGGAGGTGCCTTCCCAGAGCTGGTGTCTGCAGTGTGTTCACCACATACCTGAAGAGCCAGCGGTTCTATGCGTTCCTCTGCCCTGAACACTACAGTTAATGACAACACCACATGTCAACTGGACTTCTTGAAATCCTTCTAAATACATTTTTTTTAATATCTTTACATATTTTTAGCAAGTTCTTCATAGTAAGTAACTTCATCATATTTTACCCTTCCTCTTCATATGTGCAGTCTACTTCTTTTCTTCACAGTTAAGACATCATTATTACAGGGACAAGAAGCATACTGTGCCCTGCATGTCATTTGACAAGCGTCAGAGGAATCTGAAGATGTCACTGGTGCTTAACAGAACCTAAATGCTGATAGGAAGAGCGTTGGATGCAGCAGACAGGTTCTTGACCAGGCACTTCAGGCTCATCATCTCAAAGCCAAGTAAAGATAACCCAAATCTTGTCTCCATGCTCCATTCTGCTCCCATAACAGCAAGCACTTCTAACCAAATTTGAGTAAATAATAGCTGGGATATGACATGCAAATGATTCACAGGAATAAAATTACAGAAATCTGTCACCAGGTTTTAACAGATAAGAGTGGATCAGGTGCTGTAAGTGTTCCTGTCCAATGGTGCCCTGGCAAAACTTTCTCATGCTGATCGTACTGATGGCCTACAGTGATAACTGAAAGCCCCACCAGGTGGTGTTTGCACTGCTACCTGCTCTTTGGGTGCTCATCTCTCCTGCTTCACTTTAACTATCCGTGGACTGGGGAGACCCGTGAGAGGAAAGCATAGAAAACAGAGAGGTCTTCAGTAGAGGGATGTGTTCGTAAGCAATGTTTTCCTTCAAAATGACTTGGCTGTTGTCTGGTTATGTTAATGGTGGAGCGCACACACTGCTCTGCATGGGCACCTGGCAGTAACATGCTAACGCAGGTCCTTGGGATGAGAACAAAGAGTTAAATGAGGCCCTCCAGCTTCAACAGGATAGGAAATCCTCTGTGTGTGCTCCTAAAGCCCATTTTTCCCCCTCGCATAAGCTCTTGTGCTCTGTGTCTGTTTTTGCTGCCTTGCTAGCTACTTTGTCATTCTGTTGTGAAACAAAGATTAAGGGTGGTGGTGGTGGTCTTCTTTTGCTGAAGTGTGTGGACAACATGAATCTGCTTCTGTCAAGGTACTGCAGCAGCAGAAAGGGTAACCCATCAGAAAGAGTGGGAAGGAAAGGCAATCATAGCTGCTGCATCATGGCACTTACTTCTTCCTGCCAATGGGCAGCACCAGTGTCAGCAGTCCCACAGAGCCAAGTTTGCATTTTTTGCAGGTTCTGGGCATTGCAGTGTTGTTAGTCTCTATGCTGCTTTAGCAGAAAGGCCTCCTCCTGGTCTCTAAGGAAGCCAAAGTATCTCAGCTTCAGTGGCTGGCTTGGTGCCTGCATACTCTTTAGGGCTCCCTATGCTCAGTCTCACATATCACATCCCCTTTCCCTCACTGCACTGCTCATTTGTAGCATTCAATACTTCTGCAAATTGCATCTCAAGTCCAAAGGCTTGTGACTCCACCAACCTTTTCAACTGATAGCTTTTTTAAGATAACACTGATGTAATTTTATCCTCTTCCAAAAAAAAAAGAAAAAGGGATCTGAAGAAGCACAGGCTCAGTTTTATTTATGGAATATGAGTTCTATTAAGGTTCTGTGAAGAAATACAGCAAAAAATTACACACACACACACCTATAAGTCTTTTTCTATACTTGCTTCTACCTGCAGGTGCTCAGCTGTAAATCCCACTGACTTTAATAGTGCAGGATGGGCCCATGCATCTCCATGACCTTTAGGACTGGACGCATGACTGGAGTTGTGCAGGGCTGGGTGGGAGCACAGCAAGGTCTGTTGGCCCACAGCTGTGCTGGGCTGGCTGCTCTTGGTGGGGGCTCAGGCTGGGCTGTGCCTTGTATTCATCAGCACTGCAACACGCTGTCATTTTATGCTGCAGAAGACAGCTAAACGGTCTGATGCTGTCTTGATAGCTACCCATGTAGCAGCAAAAACTTGATTTAGAGACATGAGAACATTGGACCAGTAGACCGTGCTGGTGACTTTCCAAACAGCATAGTGGAAGTCTTTTTGTTTGATACTGAGGAGTCTTTCATAAACTCTGTTTTTATCAATACTACAAATTGCAGTGAAGTAGTTTTTGCCTCTGTCCGTGGCTCTAATCTCAGTCTTTGTCCCACTCCAGCTAATAGGCTGCATTATTGGCAGACAAGGCAGTAAGATAAATGAAATCAGGCAGATGTCAGGAGCGCAGATCAAGATTGCTAATGCCACAGAAGGCTCTGCAGAACGACAAGTTACAATCACAGGATCCCCCGCAAACATCAGCTTAGCACAGTACCTCATAAATGCAAGGTAAGTTGACTTTGTAAGTGATAATGCTTCCTCAGGATTGCTCTGACTGCTCTCCTGCAAATCTCTGTCCTGGGTAAATCCAGAAAGTTGCTTTGTATTGTCCATTCTGAATAGTACTATTTGATTCCCAAAGAATTGTGACGCCTGTATTATTAGAAGTTGTGTTTACTGTTGGTTTATGTGGAAAACAGCTTAATATGGTGCAAGTCCAGGTACATTTTTAACGACAAAAGATCAAAAAAAAATTTTTGAACATTCACAATTGCATCCACCTTCAAATATAGGTGGATTGAAAATGGCAATTGTAACTTCTTCAGAAGGAAATACTTTTCACAGACGTTTTACTGTCCTAAATGGCAAATTCAATGAAACAGATTGCAAACCAGATTTAATTTACTAGCTGGAAATTGCCACTCGGACTTGATATTAAACTGACATGTGGTTGCTAAAAAGGGACAGGATTTATTTTTTTTCAGAGACAGCACCACAAATTTGTAGAAAGCTTTCCCTAATGAGACAGAATGAGACTATCTGCTTTGCCACTTCTCAGCACCAGGATTAATGACAACACTGCTGTTTAGCTAAGCCACTGAGACAGCTTAAGTCTCTGTCAAGTTTGATATGATTATTTAGAAATATATTAACATTGATATCGCTTTTATTTGCTATTACGCTGAGAAGAAAGTGAAGTGTATATGGTGCTGTCTCACAGAGCTAATTGTAAATTGTGGTTCAAGGCAACGAATGTAAGGAATAGCTATATGTATTTTATTGCTTTGGGGTTTGATTTTGTGGTGTTTATCTTATTTTCTAAAAAAAATGCAATACAAATTGAGTGATGTGTTTAATTATGTTTGCTGTTAAGGTAGTAGAAATTATGTCATTTATATACAGAGCTGTGGTTATAGTAGGTCTCTGGTTTCCTCTATGGTCCAACCTCCTCTACACCTGAGTTCTGCACTGCAACAACTGCAGACGTTGTAATGAAGGAACAGAATGTTTGTGCAGCTCTGTATTACAGCAAACAAAACTATTACTTTTTGTAGTTCAATTTGGAAAGTTTTCTAGAGAAAGACGTGTTTAGGAGTGGCATCATGAAGCCTAAGATAAGGTGTTTCCAAACGCCTAAATCAACCTACAGTTCTTTTGATTTATATTCTTTATAGCAAATATAAGTCACTTCCGTAAGCCCTGTAATCAAATAAAAATGTGTTCCCTCCTTTAACCCTTAAGGATATGTTCTTCTCTTGGTGTTCAGGGATTCCCCACACATCGAGACGAGAATAGACCCCTTCATTTTTAGTTGCACAAACACCATATGGCATGCACCTGGATCTCAGAAGATAACAATTTAAGATCTTCAAGACAGCTAAAGCATGCAAATAAAATAATGCACTTATTTATGGAGTTGCAGTGAGCTGCTCACCAGAGACAGAAACTCTAGTGAACAAACCTCTCTTTGACTCACTTTAGAAAAGCCTGTGAACTCTCACAATTCTGTTTAATTACTGCTTAACAAATCTTTTGATGGAATGAGATATATATGGGGTCTTTTAAGATACTTTTGCAAAGAAGAAAACTTCTCAGCAGTCATATACATGGATGCTCTATCTATACCCTGTGAAACCAGAAAGTATTTTCTTCCTGTTGGCTTTCTAGAAAGTCATTTGTTACCATCATCTACAATAAACCATCATATATTATTATGTACCATATGTTGAAACTGTATTTAGATGAAGCGACTTCATTTGTAAATGAAGACTCTTAAAGTAATGTATAATAAATTAAGTTCTAAGGTGACATAGGACATTAAGGTGGCTTTTTCATTTAACAAGTTACATTGCTCCAGATTTCTCTTCTCCCAAGAGAAATGTCTGCCCAGTGAGGTGCCACCGCAGCCACAGCACTGGCCAGCAGTACAGTTACCAAGATATAGTTTGAGATGTCAAAAAAAAATATATATATTATAGAAAATAATAAATAAAAGCCATATAAGCATTCAGGGTAAGATGGACTTATCTTTTTACTCTTCCCCCCCAAGATCTGACATTCTCATAGATTTGGTTTCCAGGGACAGTATTTCTGCATAGATAATGTCTCACAGCAGCATGGGATGTGAAAAACCTATCCAATGTATTCCTCTAACTATGTGTATCCTTAAGCTACTCTCCAGCCAAAGTTGCCATCTATATAGCAATTTATCAGGTTGTTTTAGGAATATTATTGCAATCTGGTGTTGAATGTGTACATAAGAGTAAGTACTCTAAATTGCAGATATATAAGTACATTGATACAATATCAAGACAGAGATTTAAATCTTTCTGAAGTATTGTTTTTATTCTTTGTTGACTATCCAAGGGTTGAACTCTGTATTAGCAGAATTTGTCCCAGCTTGTTTGCAGTAGAAATGTCTTTTTTTCTTGTAAAATCTTCTGTCTCTTAACTGGTAACCGTTGTAGTAACTGGATTTTCATTATCCAATTACATCTTCTAGCTTTTATTAAGAATGAACCACAGCTTAGGTTTCCTATGTAATATTTGACTTTGGGGTGTAAGTGACCTGTAGCCAGCAGCACTTTCTTCTTGTTGAAGAGCAGTTTCCTGAAGATGTTTTTCACTTCCGTTTTGATGAAAGAGTCATTCACAGAACAGAACCAACAAAGGCAATCTCGAGCTTTATTCCTTCTGTACGCTAGTCGGGCAATGCAAGACGTGGCCTTCAATGTATGTATTTGTAAGTGTAGCTCTTCAAAGTGGAAAATTGGCATAATGAAATTCTGTATTGAGTCTGCTCATCAGCTTCCTTATTCAATTCTGTTGTATGTATAACCAATTTGGGAAACTTCAGCTGTCGCAAGACAGCTGAGAGCCAACCTGATGTACTTTCACCTCACTCGTTACCACCAGAAATAAAGGTGAAGTAATGCCAATTAGTGCTTCTGTTGTACCTGTGCAAGTACACCAGGCAGGGAGTCTGGGTGGCTCAAGGCCAGTGCTAAGCCTGGGAGATCTGTTCTTTGTGTTGGTGCAGGACAGTGTGCTCAGCCTCAAATTCTATCAGTAGAAATTGTTTATTTATAAATACAAGGCAGGCAAATCCAGAAACACTGAGTTATCCAGAAACAGTGAGTACAGCATTTTCTTTGTGCGCCTCCCTCCCAAAATCACACTAATTCAGAAATGTAAAAAAAAACAACAAATAGCATAAACAACTAAGGCATTGCCATGTAACTCCTACATGGAGTTGGATTCACTGTTTCAGTGCTAAAAATAATCATTCTTGATATAAATCCCACTGTGCAAGTAGATTGCAAGCAGCACTTCTGCCAGGGTGAGGATGCTGTTCCCCCTGCAAAGCATGATTCTGTTGTTAAGGATAGGACAAAAGGTGCTCATCCATGGGGCAGATAAACATCACAGAACAGAGTGCAAGAAAACCAAAGTTTTACATTCCACAAGCAGGTCTACATTTCATGCATTGCCTTCCTCCAACCCATCAAATAAGATTTGTTTTCCAGCTTCCCAGCACAAGTACCTGATGAACTAGTATCACAAGAGCCCTTTTCTTTTGAGGGGAGCAGTGTAGTACTCAAACATTTTCCTCTCCTCCACTCTCCTTTCTCCAGCACAGATCAGAATTAGGTATCCTTTAAACTCACCTTTAGCAGCAGTGCTTTGGGAAGCTATAGTCGGACATCACTGCCCATTTAGTGATTGTTTATTGCTTTTGTGCTTACCATCACCCTACAAGGGGTCGTGCCTTCTGGTTGTTACTTTCTCTGGCCATGAGCAGACCAGGGGCTATTCCTCACAGCTGCACATAAATCTCAAATGAGAAAATGCAAGATTATCCCATGCCTTGCATAAGGTAACCATTCCTCTCTGCAACTTGGGTGAGGAGCTGGGCTACTGCTGCTGACTGACCCCCTTGGCTGGGAAGTTTACCCTAGACTCGTGAGACTTGACTTGATAATAGGTGGCAGGTACCCTGCAAGGCCGCCCTCTGTGGTGGCTCACTCTGCAGCCACATGTATAATGGGAGCCTGTAATGATTTGCTTGCTAACCCGTAGTCCCATGTGGCTACATACAAAATGCATACCGAAATTAGCATTTCCAGATTGTCTGCTGACCCTGAAGCACAGTGCACAAGCTGTTAACAGACACATATCAAAGTAAGGATTTAACTAGGTAAACATTTTGTCATGCAAAAGAAACAAACGAGAAAAAAAAAACTACGTGCCCTTGGAATTACTATATTTCAATGTGTAAAAAAAAGCAGAGAAAAGCCTAAGCACGCAGGCCTTCTGGCCTTCCAGTGAGTAGACTGACTTAATTATGGTGAAATGAATGTTGTTTAATACCTACATGCTCCAAAGAGCCGTTCGCTTCCTTGGAGTAAAATGTTGGGTCCCTCTGAATTGCCTTGTGCTCTCTGGGTCTGTGTGATAATGTTTATGTTATGTTGTATCAATGTAGTACTTTGTCTGTCAGCCGTTGGGTGATGTTAACTGTAATCGTTGTGATGAGTTCAGAATGGATACCACTGCTGTGGAAGCCGGGGTGTTGTTCTAGTCTTCCTTTTTTTTCTGATTTCTAATTTCCTTATAATTATAATTGCATAAATATTTTGTTGTGATTTGAAAAAAAAAGTCCAGGGGAAGTACAATCCTAAGTAAGTGAATATGTTGTCTGATCAGGTTTGTTTTATATGAAAAATGCACACTGACCTCACAGGAAACTAAATGAGACTAACTCTGTGAAACAAGAACTTGACACCTTACACGGGAAGAGCAAACCATTGCTTAACAGCCTCTCATCCTAGCAAAATGACCAAGGGTACTATTTCTGTCACAAAATTGACCAATTGAAAAAATTACCAAAACCCCCCGTGTCCCATTTTCAAAAATACTGTAAGATTTTGGAAAGCGAAATTCACTACATCAGTGCTGGGGAGTAAACTTCATAGTTCTTTTAAGTTTACTTTTAAGTTCTGTTTTTTCCATCTTTTTGCCATTACCCGCATTCCTTAGATTTCTTTTCTCATGTGTAAAATAAACTAGCCAAACCCTCAACCCTTTTTTTCTTTCTGAAAGAACTTACTTTAGAGTCTCAGTAACGTTTTCACCATCGAGTCATGAAAAACCCTTTTGTTATTTCTCTTCTTTAACACATAACATGTTCCTCCTTTGACCCTCATTTTCCCTTTTTTCTCTCTCTTCCCCTCTCCCTCCCACTCCTCCGACCCCTCGCCCACCGATCTAACCCCCGCCCGTTCGTGGTTGCTCTCCCCCGTCCGTCCATCTGTCCATCCCTCCCTCCCCACCCCACCGCCCTGGCTGGACCCTCCCAACCTGTTTGTTCCTCTTCCTCTCTTCGTTTGCAGCTTAGAGATGGCTAAAGTCAGCACCCAGACCGCTTCCGTCACGACCCCTGTTGACCTCAACATGAACCTCTCTCAGTCTGCCACCCCTACCTCCACCCCCACCTCCATGGCCGTGCTGGCGGCCGCCTCCGCCGTTACCGTCAGTACCCCCCCTCCCCTACCAACTCTGCCAACCACCCACTATGCCGTTCCTGTCTCCAGTCTGCTTGGCATGAAAACTGTCCCACTCCTGGCACTAAATGCCGCGGCTGCCGCGGGGGCCACGGGGAATTTGTCCGCTTACACTGCCAAAATTCCTTCGACGAGCGGGGTTAAGAAATCTGACCGCCAGAAGTTTGCTCCATATTGAAGGGATGAGACACAATGCAAGCTCTGCCAGCTCTACCAAGAGTCTGTGGTAGATCCTAGTAATCAAGGAAACACTATGGCATCTTTTTCTTTTCTGTTCAGTTGCTAGTGTTAATGTTGCCACCTCCAACCGTCTTCCACTTGCCATAACGACTAACACCCAGGCGCCCGGCAGCAACTAGTTCCAACAGCTGCGCGGGGCCCTGCAGGCCCCATCATCCCCCCTGCCCACAGGGGCAGCAAGCCACGCTTCTGGGGCTGAGAGAAACTCGTGAACGATTGGAAGACAATAAGGAAAAAAATACAGTAGGGCCCTATGCTTTTCTTAGAAATTTTCTCTGGTTCAGAAAACCGTAATTTGGAGAAATTAATTCAGGAAGAAACCCTAACCCTAACCCTCATTTTTATTATTATTATTTTTTTATCTTTGACTCTTCCAAATTACCAGTAATTGCTCCTGTAGCTGCTTGAGAGCAGGTACACACCAACCCTCTGCCACCTCCCTTCCTCCAAAGTGCAATCCCATGCCACACACCATCCAGCCCCAGCATACCTGCTGCAGAACTTGCTGAAATCAGCAGAATAAATCCCATGACCTTAAGGGGCGCGTACACTTCGTTCAACCAAAGTTTTGTTCAATTTTTCTGTAGGTTTCTGTAAAACATGAATTCCTACTTAACTCACTGCTAATAATGTCTTCAAATTGCATTGTAGTTATCATAGAAAGGTTTGAGTTGGAAGGGACCTGTAAGCTCATCCAGTTCCAACCCCCTGCTATAGGCAGAAACACCTCCCTCTAGACCAAATTGCTCAAAGCCCCATCCAGCCTGGCCCTGAATGCTTCCAGGGAGGGGGCATCCACAACCTCACTGGGCAATCTGTTACAGTGTCTCACCACGCTCAAAGTAAAGAATTTCTCTCTAATATCTAATTTAAATCTACCCTCTGTCAGTTTAAAGCCATTTCCCCTCATCCTGTATCCATGCACCTAGTGCACATCAAATGACATTCAAAGGTTGCTGCCTAGATAGATAGCATCCCTTCCCAAGAATTACATCCAGATTATTTAAGTCAGAAGCCCAATTGCAGCCAAGCTGAAGAGAGCTGGGTGATGTAATGGCTGGTTGCTAGCTGTTGGAACTAGTTTTTAACTGCATTTTCTGTTTGTCCATCCACCTTCTTTTTAATTTCTGCTGCATAACTCAGTAATGCAATATTGTTTTCCTCACCACTTCCGAATTCAGAATCCCATTAGCCCGCCACGTTCATCCACTTTGCACTCCTTGGACACAAAGCTTTAACAATTGAACTGTATTCAGTGCATTTTAATATAAACTAAAAACACAGTGCAAATGCAATACTTTTTAAAACATGGTATTTCAAAGTGTGTTATTATTATTGTATAGGGCTAAGTACTATTTCAGCATTTTGTGTCATTTCTGTATTTTGTGGGCTTTTCTTCACCTTTAGTACCTTTGCACTAAGTTGTGTCACTGTAACCATTTGTAGAATTGCCACTGTTACAGGTTGCACTTATCCAGATGGGGTTTTTGGTTGTTTGAGTTGTGTTGGGTTTTTAGTGGGGTTTTTTTTTTGTTCAATTTTTTTTTCTTTTTTCTTTTTTTTTGTTTGTATGTAATTGAAAATAATGTCAAGGTACCTCAGCTACTTCACAGCTCTAGAAAAACGCTGTAAAATTGTTCTGGACTATTGTAACTGTTCCAATAACTGGCATTTGAAAAAAAAACAAAAACAAAACCAACACAACCTGTGTGAGAAAACTTGCCTGCATTGAAATGCTGTTCTATGCTGGTTGTACTCAAGTGTTATTTTTTTAATAGTGAGAAGATTTTTTTTTCTTTTTTTTTTTTCTCTCTTTTTTTGCATTTTTTTTTTTTCTTTTCCTCATTTTTGTTCCTACATTTTAGGCTGTCTTCAGAAGTTACTGGCCTGGGGGCTCTGTAATGTATCTCATCCTGCCCTAGTGCATTAGCCACCAGACAGGACTTTTCCAAAGCCCCATGAGACAATGCTTTTATGGACTAATCTACAGAGGAGTTTCTGCCATTTCTAACTTTCTTATTATTCTGAGACATCAAAAGAAAATACTTCTTTTACTCTTTAAGCAACTGTGCTTCCTAACTCTTGTGTTGCTCCAGTTTTAACACTGTTGTGGGTCATAACATAAAGCAAAGCAAAGCAATTTTCGAGGATTAATTTCCATCGATGTTCATGCTTTGGCTAATCTGTATAAAAGCATGGGCTGTTAGTGTTCTAAAAATCACTGTATTCAGCTAGAGACTTGACAGTAAATTAAATGAGACGTTTTTATAAATAAATTTTTTTCCTGATTTAAAAAAGACGTGGTAGCTTTGTGCATACAACTGTTGTGTTGTTTAAACTTTGTTCTTTGTAACCAAGTTGCTAATTTGTCATTTGAGAAACACTATTTTATGGATTGTCAAACTAAAATCATAGACAAATTGCTTGTTTTCATTAATGATTAAAGGTTTCATATCATCACGCTTCAGGTCCCAGTGCTCATTGGGAAAGTGTAACAACTGTCAATACTAGAGAGTGCACTAGCACTTTTTTCCTCAGGAATGACAATTCTGCACATGATTAGATGGATCCAGACTGTCATTAGCATGGCAAACAGGATTTTCTGCTTTTTGTTTTTTAACAAAGCTGCTCCTGAAGTACTTTTCACACAGCACAGAAGAGACAGAATTTGGCTTCTTGCTACAAGAAGCCACTGTTTTGTATATCTTTTGTGTTTTCCTATGCTTATTTTAAGCTCAGATATTTGGGAAAAGAACATTAGAAAGGAGGAATGGAGTCCTGCCCACAGCCTTTCCCATCCTGCCCTGAAATACCTCATGCACCACCTCCTTCTTTGGATCTGCTGAAGCACTGTAGAAACAGCCTCAAGTTTTCTGTTCACACAGAAAGATGGGCTGACTCCAAGTTGCTGCTGCATGCAGCACTTTTGCTGCATTCTTGCCACCTCTCCTTTTTAGGGCCTTGGTTGTCCTTTCAAATTTACCACTTTATGCTGTGCAACCAAAGTTTTTGGCAGTGTGAGTAGATATGAGAGATATGAGCCTAATTCTACAACCAGCATCGTCACTCTAAAATGTACACTTACGTCTTTGTACTTACCTTGGGGTTCCCTTCATGACCCTCGCTGGGTACCTGTGCAGTATAATGCTCTTGTTTGCATTGAAAAATAGGGTGCAAAGAGCTGCAATGAATCTGGGTCTTGATTGTGAGCCAGGAACTATGATATATCCAAGATGTGCATATAGACCTGGAAACCACAGAAGTTAACAGCTTTTTTAGTAAGATGCAGAAAAAGGGCAGTCTACAGAGGAAGATCATAGAATGCTTCATTGCATCCCAGCAAGCAGGAAGCATGACTCAGTGTTCAATTAGCTATTCCAAATCCTAGGCTGCTTTCAACCCAGTGAAATTCTATGCATGTTATTACTTCTCAAAATTTAAGTTCTTACTCTTCAAGAGGGTGCTGAAGCTGCTTTTGCAGTGAGGAAATCCGTATCTTTCATTTCCTAAACAGCAAGCGCTGGCTTGCGTAAATGGAGAAGGGAAAAAAGGGGAAAAACAAAACAAAACAAAACATTCTTGCAGCTCAGTAGAAACTATGTCAGGACTTTGGTGTCCCAGTGAAGCTGCTAGGCAAAGGGCAGCAGCAGCTCTGAATCGGCTAGGACAGAACTGAGATTTAAACTACTTCAGAGGCACGTGTGTGTGTGCTGGGGGGGATAAGCAGGAGTAAGATGAAGATGTAGATATAGCAAGAAAAAAGGAAATATTTTGAGAGCATTTTGCCAAAAATAACACAGGCAAAAATGTGCTAAGATCTAGGCTGAGTATTGATTTTAATTTAATGATTTTAGCTAGAAAAGATTTCAGAATGGCAAAAAAACGTTCCTGAATAGCTTTGACGTACAGAACAGGAAAACAAAACACAAGAAGGTACATCTGGAGGGGAAAAAAAAAAAATTAGAAATACTATCCTAGACAGAAAACTAAACCATTCATGCCCAAAGGCAGATTAAAAAAACCACATGCACCTCACACAAAAAGGTCACTCCCACACAACTGTGAGCTACCAACAGAAAAATAATACAACTTCCGCAGCTTTCATATCATCATCCATTTGTTATCAGAATTCTGGCTAACACCTCAAATGAAGTCAAGTCTTGTGCCTCTCTAGAAGAAAAAAAAAATAGAAATGTTGCCCGGAATAGTCAACAAAAGAAAATAAAGACAGGCACATTCAGCCTGTCCCACTGCAGACAGGCAGAGCACTTTCTATTGTCAGATAAAGCTGTGGGCCCCAAGGTGTGTATTTGTAGCAGTTGGGGCTCCTGGGAAGCTAGAAGCACAGCCAGCAAGGCTGCCACAAATGTAGGTACCTGCTAAGTGCTAAAGCCTCACTGGGCTCCATGAGTTGGGTGTTTCTGTGGAGGCACAGGATACAGCCACAGAACAGGCACTGAAACTCCCACCTGAGCCAGGAAGCAACAGAAGTTGCCCTGTTGGGTGGTTGGGTGTTTTTTTTTTTGGTTTGGTTTTTGTTGTTTTTTTTTTTTTAGTTTTTGCCAAAGCCTCAATCTCTGATGAACATGTTTCAGCACTAGCAACATACTTGGAACAGTTGTTGTCTTTTCTCAGCTGAACGTTGTGTTTATCAGACAAGAAAGTTACATACTCGGAAATTGAATCATTTTATAATGGCAGAACCTTTACAAAGACTACCACAGTTAGACTAAACTAAATCAGAGGAATTGTTAAGATCAAAGGACAAGAGAGGAGAGGGATTTGAACACAGGTCTCTTATAACCACCATAAGAACTGTAAACACCAAGTAATTATCCAGGACAGTAGTGCCTCAGTATATTTTTGGGAGGAAAGACCTGGTCTAAATGTCTACGCAAGGGAATAACTTGCATTTCTTTTCCCAGCAAAAAAAAAAAAAAAAAAAAAAAATCAAGGTAGTTCTAGGCAAAGTGATGAAGATTAAATGAAGACAAACTGCTTCACAGCAGGAAATTCGGCCCGAAGACACTTCTTAGGGATAGAAGAAGATATTGCTTTTCTCGTCATTGGTTCCAGGAAATAACACAATATTGATTGAACTGCAAAGTTTCTGCATCAGTGCAGTATGCTGTCACCCTGCAGACAAGCATATGTCTCAAGGCAGTAACTGAAATGAAAGAGAACTGTCATATTCATCTGATGTTATCTTATGAAAGGGAATTTCTGAATCATTATATACTCACACTATTGTTTTTTGAGACAGCTACAGTGAGATATCTACTGGCTGAATGTCTGATTTCTTACTTTAGAAGTTCCTTATTATAAGATAAAAAAGTACGTGTAGGGTTTGAAAATATCTGAGTAATCTAAATTTTCCTAAGAGTTGTTTCTAGCTCAGTGCTTCTAAGATGACAGAATGCAGGGAATTTTAATTACAGTGGCTTGTAATAAGCAAAATTTGACTCTGCTCAAACTGAGTTTATTGACAGGAGGACTGACCAAATTAACACTGATGCTTTTTTATACAGTACTTCTGTTTCTGAAGCAAATTTTAAAATTAGATGCTTCCAAGGAAGAATTACAGTCATGTTAACAAATGACAACATTGTTTTCATTAGGTCTGTTGTTTTATGTTGTTTTATGATCACTTCTGTGCTCTACTGTATCAAATACAGAAGTGGTTGTGGGAAAAGGGTTAAGCCACGATAGCAATTTATCTCCTGTGTGGTGGGAGACAAGTTAGCATGCAGGTTACCACCACCTGTGATTGTGTGCACTTGGCAGAGAACATTTAACTACCAATAAGTACTTATAACTACCACAGGCTGAGCCTATGAGTCCTAACAGCTCCTGCAGAAAGTGGTATTGGAAACTGCATTACAAACATGCACATTCATTTTGCCCCATGAAGTCATTTATCTGTTTCAAAGCCACAGAGCTGGGGAACAGCTCTTAAATTTAAGCTACGCCTTTCACTACTGGACAACTAAGCAAATAACAAATTACTGGTTAATAAACATCTTTGATGTTTGTTTCCTTTATTTAAAACCTTACCAGCTTGTTTTAAGATGATCGTACTTGGGGGAAAAAAAAAAAAAAGGACAAATTAAGCTGTTCCTTCACAACCTTACTTTTTGATAGAAATCACAGGCTCACAGCATGGCTGAGCTTGTCAGGACCCTCCAGATCCATCTAGCCCAATTCCTGTCTCAGCAGGGCCACCCAGAGCAGCTGTTGAAGATCTCCAAAGGGACTCCAAAGCCTCTGGGCAGCCAGTGTTTCACCCCCTAATTAAACCCTAAATTATTCATTTTTCCTATTTTTTCCAGATGCCCTCAGCAAATTTGACATACTTCAGTATTTTCAAATCAAAAATATGCTTAATTTAAAAGGTAAAAGGAGAAAAAAAAAACCAAAAACCAACCAAATGCAAGAGACACTCACCAAAGTTCAAGGTAGTTGTTTCTCCTCCATGTCACAGCTTTGTCGCATCTTTTGCTTCTCAGCTTTCACTTCATCTGTGTTTATCAGAACATAAATCAATTTTAGATGCTCTCCTTTATTATCTTAGTAAAACTTCCAGTATGTACAGCTAAACAAGTGATCTTACCTTAGCAGTTTTCAGTGCAGTTATCTTCCTCTCTGGTATTTTCTTACACTTTCAATATTTGGTTATGCAAGAAGTTGCATTGTGTTCCCATCCCTCTGGTTCAAAGTACGTGAAGTATGCCATATTATGGCCTTGTTAAGCAAAAGATACTATAAAGAAAAGTCTTCAGTACTAACCACCACAGTGGAAAAGCTGTAGTTCAACATTTCTGAGTTTGGCACTTCCATATACAGAAAAAATTGTAAGAGATCCTGAAAAAAACAAACATTTTATTGAAGGGGGTGGGGCCATGGAGAGAAGAGAGCTTATGAACTTTTCAGATGACAGATGCCTAAGATTTTTTCCCTACCTACTCCACATGGGAAATCTCTGTAAACTGTCACTTCTGCTAGTCCAGTACTTCTATACACAATAGCCCAAGTCTCCACATATCTAATGTTAGCAAAAGCTAGATTCTTCGCTTACTTACTAATCCCATTAAAATAGCTCTGGTCGGAAATCAGTTTTATTAATAAGAAAAGTACATTGAATATCATAAAACATTTGCATTATACAATTTTTACATTAATACACCATTGTGGATCTACAAAGGTTGGAGCTTCTTTCTTTGTTTCTTTTGTATTACACAGTTGGCTCTTTACCATCTCTCAAACTTCTTTAAATAAATATTTAACAAAGACGTCTCACTTCTAATAATGGAAATAACAGTGATGATCAGCCATGCTGCAAAAATACTACAACAAAGCCCCTTTCACCCGCCAGTCTTGAGACAGCAAATCCTGCAGTTCTTCTTCATCTTCGCTACCAATAGCCTCATCCTCTTTCTCCTGTGTTGCTCTTAATCTCATGGCTTCCTTACATTTCTCCTTCATCAAATCCTGGCGGTTGCGCAGAAGCTCAACACGACGGTAACATTCACTGTTGATAAGTAAATCATTTATTAATATCTGTAGTCTTTTTGCATTGTTGTTTTTTTAAACTCTGATGGATCTGCTTCTCCAACTCTGAATATAGAAAAGCTTAGCAGCTTCCCACCAACTCTTCACTGGAGACATTCAGACCCCAGCTGGACGAGCCCATGTGCAACACGTTGTAAGGAACCTGCTTTAACCAGGGGTTGGTCTAGATGATCTCTAGGGGTTCCTTCCAACCTCAACCATTCTGTGTGTGTGTGGCAACTAAAAATGATAGTGCATCTTCTGTGTATTAATCAAATAGAAACAGACCAAAGGAGGGGAGAGGTGTGGTAAATTCTCTAGCAAAGAGAGGTAATCAAATTGCAACATAACCACAAATTGGTTTAAGAATAACAAAGAATCTCAGTCTTCTTCCACACATCACACAGTCATTCATTTTGGTATTTTAGAGGTCTCTGAACTAAAGACAAAAAGGCATCGCAAGCATTCAGATGCTTTATCTGCTTACTGAGGACTATACTAGAAATTCATTAAGTAAACGAAGTTACTGAGTTTCAGTTTTCTATTTACCTAGAAGTTCTCATCCTCAAAAGACATTTTTATATCAATAATTCTGGCCATTTTAATAAGATACTTTGTTGAAAATTGAAGTATCAGCCTGATTTAAATCAATCTTTGTTTTTTTCCATTTTTGTTTGCTTGGAACAGTAAACAAGGAGAGATTATTGTCTGAATCCTTCTTCCCTTGTATATCCACAAAATGGTAACTTACAGGCAGCCAGAGCTGAATATTTCCTTCAGCCTTCAGATACGAGTGTTATATCGATTTGATTTTGAATTCAAATTCAACTTGAAACAGTCTGCAGTTAAAGGCAGTAAGAACACAAGCAGCCTTGAAGAATTTCAGCACCAAAAATCATATTTTTATCAGGTATTCTGAGACTACAGGGAGTCTTTCTTTCTCCTTCAAATATGTAGGCAATTAACAAAAGAAGATTAAAAGTTAAAAAAGGCTTATAACTGTAGTCAAATTGTGATCCATTACTGCTGAAGAACAGCCTGATAGAAAAATTGATTTACTTACATCTGCTCATCAATTTCACCAATCTGACGATCCAGTCGTCCCTCTTCATCATCTTCTGCCACTATTGCTTCTGAAATCTAAACAAGTAAAGCTCTAAGAAAATTCATCCTGAACTCCACTGCTGTTCCTTTTTGGCATCTGTGTCTTCCCTTCCTTCCCTCTACCCAAATCAAGTGCCTCATAACTGTCAACCCGCTGTACATATACACCTTCACAAAAGACTCAAGGCATATACAGGAGGAGACTGATATGGTTTCATTACAAATTGAAATGTTTATTCTTAAAACTAAAATTCAAAAGTAGTTTGGTTGCTTTGGGGTTAAGTTTTTGAATTTCTCCATACTCCACTATTTGAAACAGCAACAACAAACCACAAGTCTGAAGCTGGAATTGGAGCTATATCCCAGTACTTGAGTCTTAGTTACACAAGCTTATTAAAAGTATTGGTTAAGTTTTTCCTCTGGATCCCAAAGTATTTCTAATGTGTTATTTTTTTCAGCATTTACTTTCTCAAATCTGAATGTCTGGGAGATGCTATGCAGTCAATGGTCCACGCATAACTGAGAAGATTCCTTCTAAGATGAAGAATCATGCGAATGGCTAATGCTAGTAAAATGTACCCACTACTGCTTCTGTATGAGTATTTCCTCTGTTTATAGTGCTGAGCGCTTTAAAATGAGCAATGAATTTTTTTGCACCACCTTCTTAGCACTTGACGTAGGAGTGATTATTTACAATAAAAATTTAAAAAATGGCAAATATTCAAGGGAAACAGCGAGAACATGATGTATCCTTAACAACAGTTTTATATGGTGTAAAAGCAGAGAAAAACCTGTTCAGGAAGACTTACCATGCAATGCTATACAGTAAAAAATGGAAGTCAAGAAAAACTGCAATCAACTTCCATCTCACACACACAAACTTTTTTGTCCCCTTCCCAAGTTTTGTGATTCCTTTGCAGTACACTTAAGTTAACCATGACACCAAGGTTACATACACCTTGCAGATCCTTTTCCAAAAAGACAAATGAGTGGTGGCATTTTTTGTTTGTTTTTTTTTGCTTTTTTTTTCCTTCGAGGTTAAAATAACCATCTCATTTAAAGAAGAACCCATAATTATGTCTTGTTTGGATACAGAACATTGATCTGAGATATATTATATCCTATTTAAATGCAATTTAATATATGATTGACTGATTCATCATCAGAATTTTTTTCAACTTAATGTTCCTTGAGCGGAAGAACTGTTTGCTCATTTATAAAGTGCATTTAATCATACACTGCATTGCAGACAAACAGCTGACAAATGCATGTCAGTCACTTCACAGAGCTTCATGAAACTGTTTTTCTCCTTATTGTATATAGAATTTAGAATCAATAAAAATAGACTCCATTACTTACTGTGTTGACCTGTCGCATTGCCTTTTGAAATTCATCCCATTCCTTGTCCATCTGATCCTTTGGAGCATCAACTTTTCGCACCTAAAGGACGTGAGAACACAGGTTTAGTGATGATTACTGCCTAGGGAGCCACTGGAACACTCCAAAAAAGCTGGAAAACCAGCGCAGATTGGGCTGTGCTCTCAGACAAACAAGGTCAGAAAATATATGCATTAGTAAATGAAATAACTCTGATATTGCAGCACTACAGTTGTTTTGGAGGAAAAAAACTGACTTCTTGGATTTAAACAAGAAGCTTTACTACAGTATTAAAGAATTACTGACTAAGAATGGATGGTGTGAGATATCTGGACTAACAAAAATGACTAATTCCATTGATTTAATGATCTGTAATTTTACTATGTCAATTGATAAGGATGAATTCTCCTGTGCAGTCATACATTGGAACTATCACACAACTATAAAAGTAGTAAACTAATTGTTTTCAGCATAACACAAAATGTTAAGTCATTAGTGTTAGGATAGTCTGACCACATTGCAAATCTCACCTGAATTTACGGGCTAACAGAAGAAATAGATAGCCACATAGCACTTTTAAATAAAAGATTTTGTAAAGCTTTTTGTTCCATGGTAGACAGCATGGGACTGATAACGTAGGTACAGGAATTGCTTTAAGATTTACAAATAAGGTAATCAAAATCAGACTGTGCTTTTAAGTAAATTTGATAATCTACCTGCATAACCAGAACAGCTCAAGGTTAGAAGCTGTGGCATGCATTGTGTGTCAGAAGAGAGCTTATGCCTGGCTCTGGACAAGATGGAAATCATATAGCTAGGAGAACTAAGCAGTTTGTACAGAAACACTCACGACATTTTTTTACATTAGCTTTTCTTGTCTTCATTCCTCTTTTTGGTAACACAACAATCATCATCTCAATAAAGAGGATGGTTTGCTATCTTTGGTTCTGAGTGCTTATACAAAATCCAGTAGCATGAATTAAGTTTATAGAATATATTAGAAGCTTCCAGGCAAACTACATATTGGGAAATCATCATTTCCTTTTTCTGTTTTGTGATTATTTTTATCATGTGTGTATGTACTGTGTTACTATGCATTGTGGTTGTCCTTTGTAATTCATAATTATTTGTATTTCTTAAAATAAATTGAAACGCTAAAGATATTACTTGTCAAACTCAGAATTTATATGCTTTCTAAGTTCCTGATGTAAAGAACCAGCACCATCCCATGTTCACAGTCCCCTCTCCAAAAAGCCTACCTTAATTCCAGAAATAATTATTTTGTAGATGTCTTCGACACACAATCACTGCAGTCACCCCCAATGTGATGTCACAAACATTTTCCTTCCCTTTCATGTTAGCTAAACTTAGAAAGGGCTGATTAAGAAGAACAGCTGTAAATCAATTTCAAGAAAGCCTAAAGGAACATGTATCCACTCATACATGTTATCAGTGAAGGAAATGACTAAAAAAAAGCTCATTAACAACTATCACTACGTCTTCCCATATATAAGCATACCCTCCTCTGCCTGATAGACATTCCCACTTCATACAAGCTTCCCACACCATGGTGCAACTTCCTATTTGAAAAAATATAACACACCAGTCGTGTGTTACACCACAAATCTTTTTTAGCTCTTTATCTCAATACTCAAAAAGTCATTATTCAAATGTATTTACTTCCACCACAGAGCTGTGTGCATGAGTGAGAGAAACTAAAGCTTGTGATTCTGACAGAGGGACTAAATGAACATAGAGAAACATTATTCACTGAATCATATTCCAGCTTAGATAAACCAACAGATAAACCACAGTGTGAACAAGAGAAATATGCTCAAGGGAAAATAAATGACATTTTGTGTCAAGAATGGTGTTGTTTTGATAGAAGGAACAAGAAAGCCAGGAAATCTGTGTCAAATGACACAAAACAACACCGCCACCAAAAAAAAAAAAAAAAAAAAAAGCTTTATATTTCAAATAGCAGTGCATATTTCAGTTATTGTTCAAGCTGAAGGAAGCCTGAATGAATGTGATCAAATTCCAAGATTGTAAATGGTGACTTTTTGGAGAACAGCCAACGTTATGAAAAAAACCACAGCAATAAAAGATGACAGTTGAAAACCACATTCACTACTGCAGTCTGCCAGTACTAGAGATTATGCTGCTTGCCATAATCTAGCTGTTCCCATTCCAGGAGGCTGAATAATTTCACTGCATAGTAACTCCTATGCTTTTCCATAGGGTCTCTCAGAGGAGAAAATATAATATATATAATTGAAAATTCAATTGCAATTGAAAATACATTCTGAAAGATATTTTGAAACCCTTTATACACCTTTTCATGCCTTTTAATTAATACAGAATGAAACTGCTCAGTGATTTTCTTATATACTGCTAAAACTAATTACTGGCAAAGCATCCTCAGCATCCAGAAAATTACTACAACCCACAAAAATAAATCGAGTAGCAGAAAAAGATCTGCTTGCTTACCTTTGCATCCACTTCAGGATCATCAAAGAACCCTTCTGGCAAAGCCTCAGCAGTGTTCTCTTTCCTGAAATGTTTGATTATGATTATTCCGAGTTAGCTCTTTATAATAATCTCTTTTATTGTGGAGTTATAAAACAGTCAAGAACAAAATCCTTAATTCTTACAGAAGGACCTAGAAGTGAAGGAAGTCCTTTTTATGCCTAAGTTTTGCCTACAGGATTTGTTTCTTTGCTTTGGTCTTAATTAACTTGCAGGGGACTGCACAGACAGGTTTTAAACTCACTGCCAAAACAGGAGCAGTAGCTTAGGATTCCCAAATTATTTGTTGGGGGAGTGCATATCCAGACATTTTAATACAAGTCTCTACTTTTGAAAGGCCAAACCAACATCTGAGAAAGTGCAAAAGAGAGCTAAAGCACTGCCACAAAATCAGTCAACAGCTTTCTTTAAAAATTTAAAATCAGACACTAAGCTTCAAAAGCATCATCTATACAAACTTGCAAATAAAGATGTCTAACAGACACTGTATGACACTGCTCTTATCCCTAGTGTGCAACACACTTTCCTATGACATATATAGAATCTATTCCAAATACAATTTAACAATATGACAAATTATAAAATGATTGCAATCTGTATTTCCTGGAAGGGTAATGTTTATTAACAGCTGCCAAATTTTACAGTACTTCATTTGACTGCTTACCGTTCTACTACCTTCTCTTGTGTCTCTGGTTTCTGTATGGATCCTGAATGTGAAACTACAGGAGTTTTGCTGTCAAAGAAGTCTAAAAGAAAGGATAGAAGCCTATGAGCAGAAAGAACAACGGTTTAAACTTCTATACAGAACTCTGAGTAGACAGGAATTTAGATTAATACCTTACTGAATCAAGGGAAGAAAAGTTACACATTATTCTACTAGACAGCCTCAAGCAATTACAACAAGAAGCAATAAACGTGCTGAGAAAACACTACACAGTAACAAACCACCAAAAAAAAAATCTCTCTCCTTTCTCTCCCCCCAGTAGCATACACCAACCAGCTAACAGCAGTAATCAGAAAATTAAAGATCCTTCCCATCAATAGCAGTCATCATCAGGCAAACAGCAACACTGTGAAGTTCAACAAAGTAAAACTGGGTGCTGGACCTGGGATGCAGTAATGCCTGACACAGGCACAGACTAGGAACGAGTGGCTGCAGAGCAGCTCAGCAGGAGGGAACCTGTGGGTGCTGATGCCAGTAGGCTCGGCATGAGCCAGCAGTGTTCTGGCAGCCAAGGGGGCAAACCACATTATGAGGTGATGTGAAACGCAGCACAGTCAACCAAAGAGGTGATTCTCACACTGTATTTAGCATTGCTGCAGCTTCACCTTGAACACTGTGTGCAGGTTTCACAACATAAAAAGGATATTACAATCTGACAGCACCTGCAGGAGAACAACAAAGCTGCTAACAGGGCCGGAGGGCTTGTCCTGTGAAGAAAGACTGAGGAGATTGAGGTGTCCAGTCTGGAAAGGTGGCTGAGAACAACCTCATCACTCCCTGCAGCATCCTGATGGAAAGCAGTGGGAGGTGCCAGGCTGTGACCTGGTCACTGATGGCAGGACGGGAATGGCATAAAGCTGCCAGTCAGGGTCAGGCTGGGCATTAGGAAAAACATCTTTACCGTGAGAGTGGCCAAACACTGGAGCAGGCCTCCTAGAGCAGTGGCTGATGCCCCATGCCTGTCACCATTCAAGAGGCATTTAGCACATGCTTTAACTTTTGATTAGTCCTGAAATGGTCTGGTAATTAGATTCAATGATCTTTGCAGGTCTCTTCCAAATAAACTACTCTATTCTACTCTAATGACACAGCTTCTTCTTACTGCACCACTTCATTCATCATTACCTGCAGGCAGAGAATTAGGTATTACTTCTCGAGTTGGAGGTGGAATTTCAGTTTTATGCATAACAAAAGATTTGTTCGGTTGATCTTGTTCCTCTTCTTCATCATCATCATCATCATCATCATCATAATTTCCTGACAATAAACTGGGACCAGGACCTTTCAAAAACTGTTTGTTTGCATTGCTTTGCTCTGCTTCATCAAAAAAATCTGCTGGTAGCCTAGTAGAGAATACACAGTGCAACAAAAATCAGTTTGACTCTAACATCTGCAGTCTATTCAGTCTAAAAGACCAAGTTGTTCACACATCCTGTACAATATGCTAAACCATGCAGTTACAGATGTAACCACAGTCTGAAGGTAACAAAACTGTTGCTTTCTTCTGAAGTTCCCCAGGAATGCAAAGGTTAGTGCTGAAAGACATTTCCATTATGTTTTTGTATTAGAACACTCAATACAAGAAAAATTAAAAAAAGTATCCTACAACAAAGTGAGCTTGGAGGAATGACAGCTTCCGTAATTCTACTTGTAGACTTAATCTTATCTGCATTTAAATACAAAATTTAAACATATCTGCTATTAAATACAAACTTCATAGCTCAGCAGTCATACAAATGTCACTTAAACCTTGATATCCTTCATGTCTAACACAGCTGCTCATTTTGGGTTCCTACTGAAGCTCAGAAGTGCAGTTTAGAAGATCTGTGCAGGCTCAGCAATGAGAAAAGTCAAGTTTGCTTAGGATAGCTGCAGGCCTCCAAGTCAAATATTTTCCTCGGTTGTATTCAAAAATAATCATACTGATCAATCACCAGTAATCAACAAACCACTCAAGTGCCAATTTTACACTCACACTCACACACAGAATTCCAGCAAGGTAAGCATATTTTAGAGTCAAGATAACACCACCTAATATCTACACTAAATAACAGTTTACCCTGAGAAAATTTTACAGGAGATCTCATGTGGCATTTACCCATCTCATACTGATGTCCAAACACCACTAGAAATCTTACACAAAAGTAAAATGCATAAATCCAATCCTTTGAATACAAATACACCTGTTCCTTTGCAAGAGTTCAACTGCAAGATAAGTGCTTGCATGAATTTTAAGTAAAATTATGTCATCAACACATCTTCATTAAGACATTTGTTAATGGTTTTTGATACTAAAAATTACTTAAAGATATACTAAAAGATCTTCCTTCATTTCAATCATCTCTTCGGCAGCATCATTAAAGACTGGAGTGCATACTGCAGAATAATTACTTTCATTACAGTAGGCAGTTTAATGCTTACAAGTCTGATAGTGAGAGCAAAGAGATTTCTGTTTTGTCACAGACATTATAGTTAATACTATAGTTTTCTCATCTGCACAGAAGATGTTGCCTCATTCAGGAATATACACTTGCATTAGAAACTGAGCAGAAGCAGGAATTTGCTGATTGAATCATTATCCTTGGCCAGGAGAAATGGGGAAGAACAGGATGAGAAGGTTAAAAACCAAAACAGGCACAAACAGAACAATACGTCCTATAGTTACTTACCCAGATGTGGATGTATGTGGCTTGTCATCTGTACCTGTAGAACAGCCAAGAGCCATTTCTTAGAACCCATGCTTTTAAAACAAACCTACGTTGCTTACTACAACAGCAACTTCAGAAAGTTAGAGATTATCAACCTCATTTATTAAGACTTGTAAATTAAATGCCCTTTATCACAATCAAAAGGTACAACAAACACTATAGAGTTCTAAAGAATCATAGAATTGCTCAGGTTGGAAAAGACCTTAAAGGTCAAAGGTCACACTACCCTAACTCTAGCAACCCTCCACTAAATCATGTCCCTGAGCACCACATCCAGTTTTTAACACATCCATGGATGGTGACTCAACCACCTCCCTGGGGACCCTATTCCAGAGCTTAACGACCCTTTCTGTAAAGAAGTGTTTCCTGATATCCAACCTAAACCTCCCCTGGCCCAACTTGAGGCCATTTCTCCTTGTCCTGTCACCAGTGAGAAGAGACCAACCCCACTCTTGCTGTAAGCACCTTTCAGATATTGGCAGAGAGCAATAAGGTCTCCCCTCAGCCTCCTCTTCCCCAGACTAAACAGCCCCAGTTCCTTCAGCCATTCCTCATAGGGAATATTCTCCAAGCCATTCACAAGCCTTGTTGCCCTTCTTTGGACCTGCTCCAGCACCTCTCTGTACTGAGGTGCCCAAAACTGAAACACACATGAGGTTTTACCTTAAGTTTGTAGTGATTACTTAGGCTCTTGCACTTACTTAAGCACAGTGTAATAACTTGCCTTATGGTACTTAAAGTAACATAGAATAGTAAAAACACTCCATGAACATGAACCACAGTGAGTATTTTAACTCAGTGGTGCAGAGAAAAGGAGATAAACTACCAAGCAGATCAGACGATTCATAGTGTAAGACTTTTTCCCCGTCCAGCAGCAACAGGCTGACATTAACTTACCAGTCAGCTCACACAGCACAGCAAAATAAAACCTAGCACTGAACAAGTAAAACTAACAGATTCTGGCATGTGCTTGAAAAGTATTTTCCCTCCTTACCTTTTGTTTTCTTTAACTGTGTGCTTTCTGCATCGGCAGTTTTTCTCTTGACAGGCTGCGACGACGCACCAGCAGCTGAACCACTCGCTGCCTGCTTTGCGCCCTTTAATTCTGCAACTCTCTGCAAAGAAACACGGTGTTTAAGACGCTTCCTACCAGGAGCGTCTAGCTATCAGCTTAAAACGCAATAATTTCAGGACACAACGCTTCTGGTGGCCTGTTACACGATGTGATGTGGGACCAGAGCAACGTGGAATCTCACAGCCCCCCCAGCCGCAACCCCTGCCGTGGGCAGGGCTGTCACCCAGCAGCTCCGGCAGCCCGGGGCCCGACCCAACGCTGCCTCCCAGCGCCTGCAGGGACGTGACGCCCGCACCCCCCCGGGCAGCCCCTTCCCACCGCCTCGCCGCTCATCCCACAGGCGACCGGTGCGGCTGACGCCCGCTCACCTCGCGGTGCTGCTTTCCCAGGACGTGAGTCTGCCACAGCAGCTCGCTCTTCACGGGCGCGCTGCACAGCGTGCAGCTCAGGTGGCCCAGGCTGTTGTACGTGACGACGCCGTTGAGGAAAGATGCGGTGCTCTGCGCGAACCTCCCCCCGCCCTCAACGCTACCTCCCTTCCTCCCCCCCAGCAAGAATCGGGGCCGAGGGCCCTCCCCGCCCGGCCTGCCGAGGATATTTGGCGAAAGGCGATTCGATCCGCTTCTTGTCCGCGTTCTGTCGCTTCTTCTCCCTCATGAGACGCCGCAGCTCCTCTTGCCGCACCTGCTTCCGCCCGGCGCCCACCCCGGCCGCCGCCATCTTGTCCCAGCGAGCAGAGCGAGGCTGCCGCTCCGCCCTTTGTGGGCGGGCGATGGCCGCCCCCAGTCTGGGGCTCGGGGTAGCGACGGGGATGGACGCCGCGGCCCCGCCCCGAAGGGGAGGGTGGGGAAAGCATCACGTTGTGAGGCATAGCGCTCCCAAGCGCGAGTGGCCACCGAAGTCAAAGGAAAGCCCAAACCTAGCAGCAAGCACGACTCCAGGATCACAACAGTAGGCATGAGAACTTCTCAGAGAGAAGTTCACCAAAACCAGCGTATTTTCTGCTGTTCTGACAATAAAATACAGAATGGCTCAGGACCCTGCAAGGAGGGCTGTCCCGGTGCACCTGGTGCTGCAGTCTATATATAGGATATAGGGGGAAAGGGAGCAGCTCTGTGATTTAACTCCAAATTCCACAAACGTAAACTTTAGGGCAAGATATTCTGCCTGAGTGGCAGCAGGAGGAAGACGATAGGCAAAATGAAAGTGGTGCCAAGGTGAGTAGCTTGGCTGTCTTCTGACACAGTTACGACATTGGGGACTGATTCAGCAGCAAAACAGGTATCACAGAGATAACATTAAATGCAACCATCACTTTCCATAAGAAATCAAGTAATTTTTTACACCTGGTAGTCCAAACAATTTTATACTGCAGGAGTTTGTCTTCAAACACTTAGACTTTTGTCCTAGAAAACAAACACTCTGATAGGAAGAGTTGCCTGAGGTCTTCAGCTCAGGACACACACTTTACTGAATCCAGAGGCACTGGTGGGAGAAGTTAATCTCTCTTTTTGCCTCCAAGTACCAGACAATCCAAAGAAGCACTATGTGAAATCTTTCAGTTAACCCACCTGGCTTAAGGACACCCTCGTGCAAACATCTCCAGAAACAGCAACTTCTGGGTGGGAGAGATGGAAAATAGCTGAAGCCAGCAGCCTTTTCCATTGATGGAAAGATTAAAAAGGTGATGCTATGTTCCTACCTGAGAGAAAAATATTAAGCAGAAGACAGACTGCAGCTGCCCACAGCTCCCATTCCTCTTCATGGGCAGGCAAGAATGCTTTTCTGTAAAAGTTCAATGCATTAGAGCATAGATATTTGAGACAGTGAGGATCCTTTCCATCACAACAAAGTGGGTAAGTTTGTATCCTCTGATTTAAGCAACAATGATGCTGGTGGTTTAAGAGTCAGCTGAATCTGGCCCAGAAACACCAAGCTAGTGCTTCACAAAAATGGCTACAACTAACTGTTCCTCCCTGTAACCTTGAAGTGCTGGGAAAATACAGCATGAACAGAATAGCAGGCCTAGGAAAAAAATGCACACTCACCAAAGATATCATTCTCTAACTCGAGGTAGTAAAACTTACAAAGAATTTAGGCCTTAAAGAGTTCCACAAATGCTAAGGACAGAGTTTTAAATGCAAAAACTACAACCTTGAAGAAAGTGGTTAACAGCAAGAATGCAGCAACTCCAACCTTAGTAAGGCCAAAAGACATTTTTAGAATACAAGTGAACCTTTTTAACATGTGGCCATCCCTTCATTTATTCAATGGCATTTTACACTAAAATGTTCCTCCAGTTACAAACACCAAAGAAACACTTCAACTTCTAATAAGTTATAAAGCTTAGTTTTTTGCTTATGAGCTCAAAGTTTGTTTGTGTATATGGTTTTTTTTGTTTTTGTGGGGGTGGTTTTTTTTGTTGTTGTTGTTGTTGTTTTGTTTTTTGTTTTTAACAGAAACAGACTCTCTGCAGTCAATATTTCACCAGCCACTGCCATACCTATCAGAAGCATCAGTAAAAAAGCAACTCCCACTCTAGCTACATCAGCTGTGGGCTCTGACTGACAGCTGCAAGTGAAGTTGGCTGCCCCCCTGAAATCTGTTATCTCAAGCAAAAAACTTATGGTTTTTGTGGTTTTTTTTTAACCTCACAGAGTAGGCAAAGCATGTATCAGAATGTGACTAAGGTTAAGACTGATTCTCACACAGCATTGTTAAAATAAATTTGTGCCACTTTGTAACATTCTATAAAAATTTACTAATTACCATAGCAGAATAATCACTGCAATCTTTCCAATAAATACAGCACGATGAATTCAGTGAAACCAGAAAAAAATAAAGAACCTTTCAAAACAGCTCCTTAGTTATACCTTGTTTTAAGTGCCCCATTTGTGCATGAGCAGCATAAGTGATCTCATTTCAATCCCTATCATAACTCAAGAAAAAAAACAATCAAAATAAGCTATAAAAGACACAGTACATCAGAATTACATGTAAATAAACATGTACACTTGTATCAAGCTCATTAACAACTTAAAGCACCATTCAGAATTCAGTACCATACATGTTACAGTACATTCCATTTATTATGACAATTTAAGGCTAAAATAGGTACGACTCCCTTATAGTCAAGCTTCCTTATATTTATAAATGCATACAAACATTAAGTAATATAAATGTGTAGGGTTTTTCTTATTGCTCTGAACCGTCTACTACAATGTTGAATTTTCCCAGATATTGTCTCAGTGTTTTTTCAATCAAGTTGAAGTCCTAAAATTGCAACATATGGCACTTGTATGGTTATAGACCTTCTTTCATTTAAGTTGTAAATAAATTCAAAAACATATCAGAAAATATTGCCCATCATTGCAAACTCTGTTACATAGTTAACTAAACAATTGTCCATAAGATACATAATTCACCACAAAGATTATTTCTGCAATTCTTCAGGAAGGATATTCTTTTCAAAACAGTAGGCCTAACCAAGTGGCAAACAAGACAACCAGCAAGAAATAATTGACTACTACCAGTCTAAAAGACTGGGCTTTAAAAAAACAAAAAAAGCTGAATATGTGCTCCAAAACAAAGAGCAAACTTTTTTCTTGCTCATAGAGCAATTATGTTTCCTAATTATGAAGGGTAATGCCTCATTCTACCAGTGCCAAATTCTTTGACTGTAGCTTGTCCATTTCTTGTCCAATATTTCCTTCAACAGTATCACACTGGGCAAGAAAAGCCTGAAAATAACAAAAAAACACAAGTGTTACAGGTGATGCAATTACAGCAATGATAGACTGCTGCTTAAGAACAGTAACTAAAGTTTGCATCATAAATAAAGATGCCAATTCAATGACTACCTTCTAGTTCAGTTTTCATTTTTTACTTTTCATAATTTTATTTGCTCAGAATCTAACACAGGACTTGATAAGGCAACCTCAGTGATCCAACCACTGAACTATCTGAGTTAAATCAAAGTTCATAATCAAAGTAAGAATCACAAAGCTTTACACGGGTTTGCACTTTTAAAATCCTTCCTAAAACACATAGGTACAGTTGTGTAGCCACAGTTGGGAGGGACAGTCACACTCACTCAAAGCTAAAATAAGTTGTCATTAAATAAAGGATGAGTCTATTTCTCAAGACTACAAGTCAACGTGAACCCCCGTCTTCACTGAGTACACAAGTGTCCAGCAGTAATAAAGAAGAAGGAGGGGATAAAATAAAAAAAGAAAACTCACCTGGACCCTTTTCACCAATCCCTTCTTTTTCAGTCTGCAGTCATTGAAGTTCTCTGGCAGATTCTGCAATTAAATACACAAGCTGATGTAGCTTAATGTTGAAGTTAACATATTAGACATACAGCAAAAACTGGATGTGTTTAAAGATCTGAAGACTTTGCTCACTGCATCACATTAAATCTGTGCCTCCTCCCAATAAGCAGGATATTGTGAAAAGATTCTGTAACGTCCTTTCTTTCAGAAACTGAATGATCCAGAGACATTTCAAAACATTTGAAAAGTTAGTTTAATGCTATGTGTGACTACTCTTCAAACACTGGTTCTAATTCATAAACAATAATGAAGGCTTTTGGAGTATTTAGAGCTTTCACAGAGGAAAACAAAGTTTAAAAAATATTACAAGGTTATATGAGGTATCATAAGAGATCTTAGAAATGACAGCCTGTAACCACACAAAAAATCCTATTTTCTGTTTGTTTTCAACAACATAATTCACTTTTATGATGATAAAACAATCACAAGAAATATTTAGCAGAAAGAACATAGTTGATGCATACTACCTTGATCTTATCCCACAGGCTATTTTCAGGATATTACAATAGCTACCACACATCACCAATGCTGATCAGTTGTAAACAAGGACTTTTGCTGACACTCTATGCAACATCATTTTTGTTGTTGTTTTTCTTAGTTTCTTTCAGAACTCCAAAACAATGTATTTCAGTATTTTAATGTACGGCTTGTTGGTTTGTTTGTTTAAATTGACTACCAGTCCTTCCACTTTTAAATTTAAGATTAAATAAATTGGTAAGCACATTACGTTAACTTCTCATGTTAGTAAATAGCAGCTTCTTTAAAACAAGCCATTCAATGGCAGCTTGTCTTATTTGTGAATGCACAAATGGTAACAACTAGGTAGCTCTGCTTTCACTGAAGAGATGACAGTATTTTTATGCTTCTTATGCTTTAGAAAAAATTTCCCCCAAAGCTTTGATTTCAGGCTTATGATTCATACTACAAGATTTAAGAATTACTATTATGAAAAGCTTATCCAATATTCATTTATCCAAATATATTCAAAGATTTAGTAATAAATTCTCATCACTCCAAGCGTAAGTGACAGAGCTTCACAGAAGCCAGCAGATTGCATGTTAACAGCAGAATTATATTAGTTTTGGAGTATTTTCTTCTTTCAATCCTTGAAATGTCAATTTAGTATTAGCAGGGACGAGAAGACTGCAAAAAGCTTCATCAGAACAGAACGGTAATTTAAGTAAGGCTTACAGAGGAACTATAACTCAAATAATCTTCAAGGAGCATGAGCCACCAGAACATAACTATGAGTGTCTTGCATTTCAGAATTGGCTTTTTTCACTTGTTTGAACACTGTTTCTCTACAGCGTTCTGGATTCCACGTCTGTCATTAATGAAAACAACATCATGATAACAAAGTAATCTCTCAGACTGCAATACTGGTGTCAGACTTCATGTAAATTAGAGGATCATAAGAAGTATGTAGTGTCATGTCTCCCATTTCAAATTTTGCTACTGATCTCAGTAAAGCTTTTATTCACAAAGAAGCTTTTCAATTTTTTAAAAATGTGATCAAGTCAAGCACTTTCTGTGTTCCCCTGAGATCTGTAATAAGCAGTGTGATTTGACTTTTACTCCTTGACCAGATGCTTCAGTTGCTAAAATGAATGCATTTCTGTTGATGCAAAAAGACAACCAAAGCTCTGAACAAGACCAAACTAGTGTTCCTCCTGAATAATAATAATAATAATAAAAACCTTCAAAGATCTGTGGCTTATGAAAAGGCCCAATCTGTTAGATGTTTACAGGATCCCTCCACCCCTCTTACTGTAAAAGCAGCAGCTATTTTAAAAAAATGTTAAAATGTGTAAGTTACACCTACTGGACCCAAAAGCTTCAAGACTGAGCTACTTCAAGACTGTTTTCACACTTTTGACAGTGACACCATATTTTAGTCCCACTCCAATATTGTACAACAGCCCAAATACTTCTGGCATTTCTTAGCTGAGCACGTCTTTTAAATTCATAATTTATACAGACATGGAGCTTAGTAAAAAGGTGCCAAACAGCTTCCCTAATTAATGAGTTTGCCTGCTGATAATAAGAAGATAACACTTCTATAATAGATAAAAATAAAATGCTTGCTTTCTCAACCTTGGCTCCCTGTAACCATGCAAACTTCATTTTGTATCAAGCTCCATGTTTCTAATCAATCCAAAGGATGTATGACAGACACTTTAACCAGCTTTCACAACAATTCTGCCAAATAAACAAGCCAAAACATTTACAGTGTGAGCTGCTGATTTGTTTCCTTTCCACAAAGCACTGATGCTTTTGTGTCATTAGAAAATAGGTAAGTCTCTGCTAAAAAACCAACCACTGTTAACTGAATCATTAGCAAACCTATATCACAAATAATACTCAAGACATTTGCCAGGATTTGCTTTTTTCTTGACTAACAAAAGGAATACTAAGTACTGTATAAACCAATTATAAGATACAGACAAACTATTCCCAGAAGATTTACACTCTTCTGCTTTTTTTTTTTAAACCTCAGTAGAGCCCAATTACTGTCATACATACCTCACTACCATTCCATGCTGCTACTTCTGTACCTCTATATGTTGCACAGCTACAGTAAATCTAAGAAATTTTCCATAAAGTTGGTGGTCTGTTCATCTGACCTGGTCTAGTATCAGTACACTGAATGGCTGCAAGATTCCATTCAACTACACATATCTACAAGATTCCACACAAATTCCTCAGAAGTTTCCATGATAAACAAACAAACAAAACCCCACAGCCTTCTTTGTATATTAAATAAGTATGGAGTTTGGTAAACATAACATTGCTTCATCCACTGGTGTGGAAACCTTCATTTCATTTCTTGCTTAAAAATGTGAGGCTTATCAATGTCATAGGCTCTTATTGATTCTTCACTAGAAATTAAAAATAGCTACATGAAAAGATAGCAGTCTTTAGTTTTATCTCTGGCTGTTCTGCTTCCACAAGAGAGAAAACTGAGACACAGGGACTCCATTATTCCCTAAAGATGGTTCTAAGACTTTAAAAATCTTGTACTAAACCTGGAAGCCCCCTGTCCAGAACTACATAGAGTATAAGTAGAAAGATAATCACTCTGTTATCATACAGTTTACTAGTAAAGTTTGCCAAGACAAGCTAAAAGAGTAGAACTTGAGTGAAAGATACCCATTTCATGTCATCTCAACAGGCTACTGCCTCAAATGAAGGTTTTCTGAAGAATGGGGATGTATACACAGGAATTAAGGCCACAATTTATAAATAGATGCTGCCAAGAAGTCTTACGGACACATACAGGAGCAAGAAGAGGTTATCAAAGAAAAGAATTTGCAAGCCAATTAACTATTTTTGACAGCCAAAATGAATTTGTTCATATTTTAAAATATCAAATAATTTACAAGAAAGATGCACTCTTAAAATTCTGTCTGGTTTTGATTCTTATCTGTGGTTATTTACTTACAATGGCATCAACCTGTTCCAGGATCTTCATGAACTGCTCTGCAGTTCCTTTTATCCTCTTGTCCAGCTGTTTTAGAGCTTCTGCTTGCAGATCCTTTGCTAAAAAACCCTGATAAAGAAAAAGGAAGAAGAAAATTGTTCCACACCTTACAGAATGCTCAGCTTGGAAAAAATCTGTTGATATAACACAGCAAAAAACATATTTTATTGTAGTTTCAAGTACAAAAGGGATTCCCATCTCAATCTGTACTCTATCAACGTGTAAATTCAACCAGTAAAATCTGTAATATTTCCTTTTAGGTTAAACAAAATTCAAAGTAACAGGCATTTTCCTTTGAACTATAAAAAATCTTCCATTTTTCTAGACCTACAAATAACATGTATTCAACAATATACCATATTTACCTTTTTCCAAACACTGTTATATATTTCTCTATTTCATTCAGAAACTCAAAAATGGCATTTGAAATTCAGTAAAAAAAAAATTAATAATTATTTTCTCCAAGGACAGCTAAGTGGAGCAGCCTATTACTGACTACTCAAAAACTTAAGCAAACTTTATTTTATTGTTTCTTTTGTTGTTATCATATTGTTGTTTTTTTGTTTTTTTGGTTTTTTTTTAAATATATACCTGTAAAACAATTTTGCAAAGACAGAAAAGGACACAAAGCTGGCGTACCTTCTGGATACTTGTGAACTCTTTATTAATTTCCTCTAACTTATTAGCTATTTGCTCCACTGACTTCTCCAGATCTTTTAACTTCTTTAATTCAGCTTCTTCTTCTGGACTATTCTGTGTATTCAAAAGTATAATATTCACAACTATGGAACAAATAGAATCACTATGCAGCTAAAGAGCAGCAACAATGGTGATAAGAGACACAAAGGCTTTTGTTGACTCAAAATATACACTGCACTGTGGCTATCCTTTCCATAATTTAGCACCTATTATATAAGCTTCTCCCAAAACTTAATAACAAATACAGTAAATGTGGCAATGTATATAAACACATTTAATGATACAAATTTGAAGGGAAGATGTAAAGCACAAGCAATTTTCCTGTTGTAGATTTTTGAGCATCTTGTAAATAGAAGTAACTTACAGATCAGGTGATATCACCTCATACTCTACTTGGCAAAGCTACTCACAGATCTTTATGCTGGAAACAATCCAGTAAATTCAGGACCAACGGTTGTTTTTTTTTTCCCCATTAGAAAAATGAAATGGGCAGAAAAGTTCATCAGTGCATGGGAGGTTCATGAGCAATGACAAGGATCAAATTCAGCAGAGGTCTGCCAATAGTGCAATTTCAGAAACATACAAGCTGCAGCATTATTTGCAGTACAATGCAAGACTGAACTCAGCTTTGTGAGTAGGTAAACAAGATTACTTTTATGCTGTAACCAGTATCTGTTCAGGAGCTGAACCATTAACAGAAATTAGGATAACGTATGGAAGAAAAAAAAAAAAAAAAAAAGCAATTCTGAAAGTAACACTAACCCTTTTCCCAATCAACATGACTTTGCAACCATTTTTAACACCAAGTGCTGACAATGGCTGTTCCAATTCTTTCAGAGATTTCCCTAAATGGAAAGGAAGGGAGGGGGAAAAAACAGTCAAAACATTACTAATTAAGTAGTTAGTGCCATACAAACATCTTTTTAAAGACATTCAAAACACGGACACCTGGAAGTGACTAAGATGAAACCTACTGTCTTATAAAAACCAACAGATTTATAAATTACCTTTGTATATAAGTTTCTGAAAAGAAACTGGAACACCAGTGACTTGTTCTATAAGCACAGCCATGTCTTGTAGCGTAGGCTCACCATCTTCCTGTTGAGAAGCAACCTGAATATTGTGTTTTTCATTACCTAATAAAATAAATAAATACAATAGGTAAAATAAGTGATACTTACTATCTAGAAAATATCACAGGAAAACAGTTTCAAATATTTATTTCCATTAATGTAGAAAGTTCTCAAATCAGTGGTTCCTACGCACAATCTTAATCTTAAATGAAAGAATTCTTAGAATCATAGAAATCACCTGGGTTGGAAAAGATCTTCGAGATCATAAAGTCCAACCATCAACCTGACCTACCAAGTCCCATCACTAAGCCATGTCTCTCAGTGCCATAACTACTGCTATTCTATTGCAACTCCTTCCTCTTAAAGTGACTTACCTCAGCTGAAAATTTTCTCATACTTTCTAATAACTTGAAGAATTGAATTGGAAGTATTCTACTGGCACAATGATCCTTCTCCATACCATTTCCCATCTAATTTTAAACAGTGCACATGGTCTAAAGTCCCACAAGTTAAAGCACGAAAGCCCACACCTTCTTGATCTCTCTAACGTCCTACTTCTAGGCAACTTCTGACGTTGGAAGTCTCAGGGAACCGGAGATGATTTATCACTTCCCTTGCTCCCTAGTCTTTACAAAAGGCAAGCAATGCCTACATTGTCTCCTCTCCATCTGAAAGAATTCTCACAGTCCAAAGATAATTTTTGCCTGTAATACCACTGCTATGCAGCCCTAGTCACCTTGCAAAATCTCATCCTATACGTCACCTCTCACTAACGACACATCCTAATCACACTCCCTAAATTACTTGCACACAAACAGCAGGAAGTTCTCAGAGAAAGAAAAAAAAGGAAAAAAAAAAGGAAGATGTCTATTAATCTCTGTATCACAAGAGAAACTTTCCACAACCCTCTGCTCCCACACATTCAACATCAGTCAATTTGAAGGTACCCACCATTGGCTGCCATGGAAATTAAGACGGAAATTAAGTTTACAGGAAAAGAAAGCTCCTGAACAAACAGTAGAAAGAAAACTATTCTTATGCCACTAATTTGAAGTGCATTAATCTTCTGCAAAGAAGAGCACTAAAAATACTAATTTTAAAATGCTTCAGCCTGCCAAGGGTCACATATAAAGCTACACTGGGCCAATAAAAACTTGCAACTGCCTCTAATAGTATTTTTAAATTCCGAAGTGGTTTTAAGCTCAAAAATCAGAGTAGAGAAACTTTCTCTGAAATATTTTCCATAAACAGACCTTCTTCCCTGTTTGTTCGGAGGAAAAACAAGTCAACAAAAAAAGCCAAAAGCACATCAATAAACAGAATATTTCAGTCCTGATCTTGTTGCATTTCAGAAGATTGCTGTGAAACATACAGCTTCCTTGTGGAAAGGCTGTAACTAACAGCATTTGAAGGAAAATAAAAAACAGAAATGAGGAGAACAGCTGAAGTTCACCTAGCAACGGAAACACTTTGAACAGCAAATCATGAAAACTACTTTGGGCCGACCACAACAAAAACTCTACCACTGATCCACAGAAGAATGAAATCAACATGGGTTAGAAATGGTTATCACGGCTTATCAGTAAATGATGATACCAATTTAAAAGAACTAAAGCATGTTTCTGAAATCTTTACACGTCAATCCAGTATCTTCTACTGTTAAAGCAAAACACAGGGTTGTGCTGTCGTTCTCTTTCCTACTCCTTATTTCCACCTCTCCCTATACTCACTCACAACTTTAATACAAAAACTGCCAGAAGCTGAAGTTGCAGATAAAGAGTGCCTTCTATTAGCTAATATTAATAACTAAATCATTACCAGATAACAACTGGAAAGATAAAAATATTCTCTCACCTTTTTCTTTGCAATATCATGTCTCCCTAACCCCAAATCCATACACTCATTCAGCAAACATGATGGGAAGGTTTATATTGGGTGTCAGGGGGAAGTTCTTTACAGAGAGAGTGGTGAGATGCTGGAACAGGCTGCCCAGAGAGGCTGTGGATGCTCCATCCTGGAGGTATTGAAGACCAGGTTGGATGGAGCCCTGTGCAGCCTGGTCTAGTACCAGATCTGGAGGTTGGCAGCCCTGCCTGTGGCAGGCGGGTTGGAACTTGATGATTCTTGTGGTCCCTTCCAAGGTATTCTATGAGAGCCCATCAGGTAGCACTGCTTTTACTATACAGCACCGAGTTCAGCTCTGACAAATACCATTTAAAGGAAGCCTGCTACTAGAAGCGATCCTCGCTCCGCGCCCTCTGACAAGGGCAGCCGTGCCACCTGCAGCAAGCCGCAGTAGCATTCGGCTATCCCCTCCCTCCTGCAGGCCTCGGAGTCCCCCACCACAGCCCGCAGCCCCTCAGGGCCGCCCCCATCCCGTCCCGCCGGGCGGCTGCTAACGTCAGAAGCACGACACACACACACCCCACACCCACCAGCCCCGGGCGACTCTTACTGTACGTGACGGTGACAGTAACGGGGGCCCCGGGAACCGCCATCTCGCACCGCCACAGAGTAGCCGTCGGCGGGAACCGGCCCAGTCGCACCACTATCGCGTCACTTCCGCCCGAGGCCCCGCCCATCAGTACCGTCTAGCTGACGAGTGACGTCACTTCCGAGAGCACGCAGTGAGAGGCCGGCCCTCATCCGCCATGTTGCCTGGTGGTACGGGGCTGTGCGTCGTGGGAGAGCGGCGCTGCTGAGACCCGTAGGAACACGGCACTCTCGGCTTCTGACTGCAGCTCCACGCTGCTCTGTAAAAAGCACCTGTTGCTGGCCAGAGCTCGCTTTGTACAGACGTTTGTGCGCCCAAGCGTGGCTTCACAAATTAGCTTTTCCATCAAATTAAGGTTTAGCTCATGGTGTGAGAACTCATCTTCAGCATTACAGTAGTCTCGTGCTTACAACTCGTGAGCTAATGGGAAAAAGAAGTTTTTATTTGATTATTTATTGCTAGGAGACTAATTCATAGAATGATAGAATATATCCTGAGTTGGAAGGGACCAATAAGGATTGTTGAGTCCAACTCCTCACAGGACCACCCAAAAATCTGACCATAATTAACTGCCAAGTAACTCCTGTCAGGAGGAGAACCACAGGAAAAGCAAGCCTGGTGTGAGTGCAGCCTTGCTAAAGCACTGGGTGCTTCTGGGGCTGGAGCCAGCCTCCAATGGCAGGGCTGAGCTGAAGCAGCATGCAGCAATGAGAACAGGACAGGCTAAGACCATTACCACAAATACCACACAATAGACTGAGCTAATCTAAGTGACTTTATGTCTAAGTTCAATACATAATGACAACCCTATCTGATACAGCTTTCAAGGTTACAAGTACAATAGCATAAAAGTCTCAAACTGAAGTAGTTTAAAAATGTTTTTGACTCTTTTTATCAAATAAGTATAGTAATAAGGAAGATATTTTACAGAGAAAAAGCAGCAACGTACAATCTTAGTTTCAAGAAAGAGAAACAATACAAAAATCAAAGCAAACCTCCACTATAAACAGCCACCACTATTCTTTACATATTATTTTGTCCATAAGACACAAGAAATCAAAAGCTTTTAGACTGACTGCTTCCACTGAAGGAAACTGTGCCACATTTTTCCATTAATAGAAAAGTCAGTAGTAGAACAACTTTCTTCAAAGAAAGACCATCACCAGCCATATTGCATTCTAGGATGTAGTGATATTAAGGTTGCACTGGAAGGACAAGTTCTCCAGGATTTACCAAAAAAAAAAGTCTTGATTTCTAAAGTGGAGTTCATTATATACATTGTGCTCTTGAAGCATTTATGTTGCAGGAATCTTTGGCAATCCAAATTCATCCACCAATACACCATCCTATATGAAAGAAAGAAATCTTAATGAGATCTCCACCCATCATAATATATTGCATAAGTTTATATTTTTTATAAAGCAGTGTATCTCTAGTTGTCATGGTGACATCACCAGAATCAAAATAAAAGCATCCTCAATAGTTAGCTACAGTAAAGCCCAAAAAACAGAAAAAAAACATTTTGTCTATTTATTTTTAAGAATAATTACACTAAGAGCTGTAGTGATACACTTAAGTTTTACCTGTGGTGTTATCAGATAGCACTTATGTTTTAGTTCCTTGAAGTATAAAAAAATATATGCAGCATCCAGAGCACACAAGACATTAAGTATCTTTTTTGTTCAAAATATTAGAGTCAAAATCAAGCAACCCACATAAATTCCATTAAGAACAACAACAACAAAAAAGTAATTGGCTTCAAGAAAGAAAGGACTCACTTTGTTTTTTGTGTCAACAGGCGTGCCCTCTGGAATTGCTGGAGCAGAAGCAGCTTCATCTAAGTAGGAATTGTCTTCATCAGCTAAAAGCTCATCACCTAACGCATCCAGTTCTGAAATTTAATTGTTTTGGTTGAAAAATCAGGCAAGGAAATCCTTTTGCAAAAAGGAAGAATTGTTCTTGAAGAGAAAAACGATTCATACTGAATGCTTACACTCATCCTGATGTCCCTCATTTAGCTGCTAATCAGGAATACACAGACTTACTCAACATTCTGTTTTTCACCATAGCATCAGTACCCCTTTCAGGTCTCTCTATTTCACAGAATCACAGAATCGTAGGGGTTGGAAGGGACCTCCAGAGATCATCGAGTCCAACCCCCCTGCCAAAGCAGGATCCCTACACCAGGTCACACAGGTAGGCGTCCAGGCGGGTCTTGAATATCTCCAGAGAAGGAGACTCCACAACAATTTATTATTACTTTTATTACTATTATTATTTATTTATTACTGCACTTACAGGAAATGTAGCTTTTATGTTGGAGTGGAGTTTTTTGTGGTTCTATTTTCTAAAGATTTTTCAGTATTTGGCTAGTGAAATGAAAATGTCACTTCCCCCTCCACCTTCCTCACCTGCTTCCAAATCATCTTCATCAATCTCTGGTGTTCCATAGCTACGACTCAGTGCTTCCTGGACTTCATTGGCTTCTTCCATCATATCCTCCAACTGATCCTGTATGTCCTGGAGCAACAAATAATTTCAACAGTTCACATGCAATGGTGTTAACCATTTAATGGTTTTAGTTGGAGCTTAATCAATTGTTTAATAATTCTAGCATACAAAACAATTATTTTTACTGCTTAAGTCAGTTTTTGAAGCAGCGTTAATAAAAGTCAAGAGGCACACATTCAGTACTATTTGATTACTATTAAAATTATAGTAAATAATGTATCAGGCAGAAAGAGGAACTCTGTAACTATATCTCCGCAAAACCTTGTTTTTCTGTTTTAATGGGGAGTACAGGTGGCAATTCGTCCACACAGAGTATGACAATTAATATTCTTCAGGGTGAACTGAAAGCCTCTAATAAATTACCCAGAACCCAGAGTTATCTTGAAAACCAAGAAACAGTAGATCTAAGGACTGGCTTTAGCTGCGCCACAGCAAAATTGAGGAAATATATCAGCATACTTAAGGCATTGTACTCAGGTACAAGTAAGGAAGCAGTACTTGACTAAAGATTTATAATGTGGGCTATAAATAAAATCAGCATAGGAAAGGGAGTGTAGAGGAATTAAATACTGACATTTGATAGGAGTTTAAGTACAGCATATTTGAAATAATATTTGAAGTTGTTATCTTTTTAAGCTGCATTTTCTAAAGGCAGGGCTAGGTCACACAGATCATTTCAAAACGTTTATTTTTTAAGCCTGGCACTAGCATAAGGCAGGGGGAGCAAAGGACTGATCTGCACCTAAGAGCACCAACATAAGGAGAAAAAAGGAGGCCAAAGAAGCTACAGCAGGAAGTATCACCAATATTTATGCTGAAGTGCAAAGGAAAGGAAAGGAGATTACAGGTGAACCCAGCATGGAAACAACAATCAGTAGAAGGACAACAACTGCAGTACCAGAGAATTAAGATGGTAGTCCAATGAAAAATAAATATAAAAAAAAAAAAAAGGCAAAGTCATGTAAGCCAAAACAGTCAGCTTACCTTTTAGTTATATAATTCACTCATTATTTCAGTGCACCATTTCTATTCTTTAATAATTTAACTATAGTAAGCTTACCTCAATTTGATCAATTTTGACTTGCTTGTAAGCTTTCTTCATTTCTTTTACTCCCAGTTTCATTGCATCAACCTAGAATAGTCAAATAATATGCTTGTATCCGATGTAGCAATACACAAAATTAAATAAATGTGAGTCTAAAATACTGGTACCGTTGTTTTTGTATCCTTCAGTGCCTGAATGGTGTAATTAGCTTGCTCCATATTAAAAGACTGCTGTGCTAGATTATCCCGTTGTTGTTCATACCTGTTAAAAATAATGCAAATAACAGTGCTGAAACACCACTATTTATTGCCACCAAAAAGAAAAAAAAAGAAAAACTGAAAAAGCTGATAAAGCTGCTTCTGAATTAAGCTTCTGTACTGATGTATACACCAATACTGATGGTATTGGTGAGGTCTGAATCACTGTAAGATGGACATGAACACCATGGCTTACTAATGGAAGACACGCAAGTCATCCAGTCCACAAAGGCTCTGCATTGAAGTTTTGCTGGGACAGAGAGGAAACGTGGGAATAAGCTGGAAAAAGGAAACTTACATCTAAACCTCCAAAAAAGAAAAAAGAAAAAAAAAAGGAAAAGAAAAGAAATTTTAAAGAAAGTAATAGTTCTTCTCAAAGCTGAAGTACTACCTAGTCAAGAATGTAAAGCACACCAGGTTAAACATAAAGACTTGTTATTCAGGGCAATAACATATTCCAGTGAAGTACCCCTGAACACAGGCGACGTTCCAACATTCTTTTCATTTTATTTGTTTCTGGACACTTTACAAGACAATATACTAGTCGAGGACCATAGGATTGCCTAGTACACCCGTCCTTGCTTTTTTTGCATAGATACAATTACATGAGCTAAATTTGCTCAAATCCTAAAGGGTGTCCATATAGAACAGGTAAATTTTCAGTAAACCAAAGCAAGATCAGAAAGTACATGATTTACAGTAATCAGTGATATAAAAATAGGCTTTATCTCTTTTAGAAAGTTCACAAGCCAAGCACGTCTTTAGTGATTAGCAGATGTAGATCAGCTTATCCCAGTCCAAATTTATATATTAACATACAAATTAGGCACAACTATGCTGACAGAAAATCTGTAATATGGTTTTGAAGGGCTGACTAGCTTGCGCAGTATTTCTCTTTTGAGGATGCTCAGAAGCAAGAGTACTGAAAAGAAAAATGGAAGTATGCCACTCTCCTTCAACAAAACAGCCTTTAGTGATGCCAAATGAAAACTTACATTCGCTTCTGCTTTAACACTCTCAATGCTTTCTGTTTCACTGTATTCTGAAAGACACAATATCCATATATTAGGCAAAGCATTTTACTTTACATTATATTGTTTAAGCCTAATACATTCAATTTAAATTTTCTGAGAGTCCCCAATGACTAATGTCACTTTTAGAGCAAAACCCTGCATTAATGATCAACAAAACAGGCTTGTATGTGATGCTTCTAATATTTTTCCTACTTTCAAGCTTTCCTACTTTCCTAATGTCAGGCTTTTGATTTTTTTCCATAAGTAGAATATAAAGTCAGACTTAAATAACAGAAGCATCTTTATCAACATATCTTAACAGCTGGCATCAAATAATACTGCAAAATAGTACTTTATCAATACCTTTTATACTGGATATGCTTAATACTAAGTAAACATTTAATACGTTTATCATTAGATATTGTTTACCTGTTCATCTCTTTCAAAACCAGGCTTTCCTACACCCTTTCTGAATTGCACAGACCTTTTTTCTTTTGGCAGGTGAACAGAACAGCCTCTACCACATTTGATTCAGTTAACAAAAGGAAGAAGGGAGGCAAGGGAGTTACTTCTGATGGACGAATTACAATACACTTTGGAAAAGTTAAAAATCAATTAAAACACCATTCAAAGACATGTGCCCAAGAGATGATTCAGAATAAAGATAATCCTGGAAGTTCTTACATCCCATCCCAGTAAGACAAGATGCATTTCTAAAAACCTGAAGAACTGGATAAATCACTCCATTACATGACAAGCTGTGCGAGTCACATCCTCTGCTGCTTAAATCCCACAGAAACTTGTTACCTTTGCAGGCCCCTCTCTCATCTTCTTCATTTGATC